CCGACGCGTGTGAATTGCCTTGTATTTCCCTCCCAGGCCCTCCGAGGTGAACCAGATCCTCACTGAGTGGCTGGACACGGACGTTAGGAGCCCACAGGTGGTCTCAAAGATGTAGGGCTGGTGCCAGCACCAGCAGCACCCGCCCTTCCATCACGCACCTCCTGTAAGCAGCGGCGTTGTCCTGAATGGGCTTGCCGCCAAGAGTAGGTTTCTTTAACTGAACTCAATCCAATGTGATGAATTCATGTGCGATTAATTCTGGGTATAAATGGGTCACTTCTTTGTCTCTCTGAGGACAGTGAGTGTGTCCTGGCTGGGGACAGAATGCAGCTGCCGGGTGGTGGTTTCTCTTTGACAGATCAACTCAAAATCGGTTCGTTTGGAAGCATGTCAGTGGAGATGGGAAGCCGTTCCTCAATAAAGCTCACTCAACTGTGCTGCTGCCGCTGGTGTTCTTGGGTAGGCAGCATAATTGTGCTAAGAAGGTGCCTCTTTGGAGGGGACAGCTGCCCTGTGCTGTTGAGCCTTGCTGTGGTCCCCAAGGCACTGCAGCACCCAGGCCAGCGCCGTATAGGGGACTTCTGGGCAGGCACAGTGGTTTGTCTGGTAGAGGAGCCGCTAGCCATGGGCAGCCCACGCTTCCTCAGCACCACTGGCTCACATACACATGCATCCCTTCAATGCCGGAAATGCGCTGGCCAGCCCGAGGCAGGGACTTCTGTGTTCTGCTTAAACTCAATAGCTCCGCCGGTGCTGCGGCTCACTAGGCTAATCCTCCGCCTTGTGGCGCCGGCACACTGGGTTCTAGTCCCGGTCAGGGCGCCGGATTCTGTCCCAGTTGCCCCTCTTCCAGTCTAGCTCTCTGCTGTGGCCCGGGAGTGCAGTGGAGGATGGCCCAAGTGCTTGGGCCCTGCACCCCATGGGAGACCAGGAGAAGCACCTGGCTCCTGGCTTCAGATCAGCATGGTGCGCCAGCCACGGCGGCCACTGGAGGGTGAACCAACAGTAAAAGGAAGACCTTTCTCTCTGTCTCTCTCTCTCACTGTCCACTCTGCCTGTCAAAAAAAAAAAAAATAGCTCCACAGGGCCAGCAGCTGCCTTGCAGCTCAGTGCACATCGACCCCATGTCCTACAGTGTTTGTCTTCCCCCTGAGACCCCATGTCTCATAACAGCAACCTCCCACCCCTGTAGGGTGGAGCCCTGAATGTTACAGAACGACCGCCCACCGTCCCCAGGCACTGCAGCCTGCCTGACCCCTGCTCACCCCCAGCTGGGTGCCTGTGACTCCCTGATTGCTGCCCAGTCTCCAGCGTCATGATCCTCAGGTGCTGCACATGCCACAGTGTGTCCTTGCCCTTGACCCTCTGCCCGTGCCATAAACCCTTTGCTGGGAACTGTCAATTTGCCAGCCCCTCCACCAGGTCCTCTGGCTGGTGCAGGCAGGATCCTGTACCGTTTTCCTGCGCCTCTCCCATGCAGCACTTCCTGCAGAGGAGGTGGTGTCCCCAAGCTGAGTTCCAAATTACAATAAGCCAGGTTGGCCAGGCCGTGAGGGTTTGTGTGAACGCCAGAGGGCCGCTCGACATGTCAGCAGCTGTCATTTCTTCAGTCCCCCGTGTGCCTGAAGTCTTACACCACATCTGATCTTCCAGACGGTCCTTCCCATTAAATGGATGGGGAAACAGGTTCAAATAACTTGCCCAGGGTCACCTGGTGAGTTGGGGACAGAGCATGGACTCAGACACACATTGGTTCCAAAAAGACAAATATGTGACATACAGAGATGGCTGTATAAGCCAGATAACATTATTTTACTAACCGGATATGTCCAAATACATTCCCTGTAAGGGAGCAGATGGTATAATGGAATAAAGAGGAATCTTAGAACATTTTTCACCAGGAGGAGCACAAATAGGCACACTTGTTTTCCCTGCTGGATAAGGTTCAGATGTCCTATCTAGTCATCTCCAAAACCCCCAAAAATGCCTCCGAAAATCTGCTTTGGAGAATAAATTTCCAAGGAATCAAGTTCATAGCATTGCAGCAAAAATGTAACTAATGACAGAGACTGAAGGTTGTAAAGGCTTTTGGACTGGGAAGGTCTCCAGCTTGTGGATGAAAACACTAGAGCATCAGGAGCCACATTTTCTTGTCTACTGCAAGTTTGTGGTTGCTGTTGCGGCAGGCCGGGGGCGGGGGGGTTGCAGGAATAGACGGGGGAGATGCTTGGATGCTGTTCTAGATGCTAGTTCAAGTCCTAGATCCTTTGCTTCTGACCCAGCTTCCTGCTCTGTGCACCTTGGGAGGCACCTTGCGTTGGCTCAAGTGCTTGGGTCTCTGCACTCATGTGGGAAACCCAAATGAAGTTCCAGGTTCCCAGTTTCAGCCTGGCCCAGCTCTGATTGTGGGGGAGGGGGTGGCGTATTGGGGGGGTGAACCAGTGGCTGGAAGATACCCCTATCTCTCTCTCCCTCTTATAACTGTCACTTTCAAGTAGATGAAAATAAACATTTACAATAAATAAAAATAAATATTCACAAGAGTATGTGGAGTTTTTTTTTTCAAAGAATAGAGGAAGAATTAACATTTCATAATTTGTTTCATGGGGCCATCATGCCTCTGATAGAAAAATTGATAAGCTTATTATAAAAAATTTTAAAAATATTAATACAGATGCAAAAGTCCTAAACAAATTAATAAAAATGAAAAAGTAAAATATAAAAAGAGTAATACAGTATGATCAAATATAGTTTATCTCAAGAATACAAGTTTGTTTCAACACTGCAAAATCAGTCACTTTAATTCATACTGTAGCAGAAAGTGGAAAAAATCATTTGTTCACCTTATTTAAGCAGAAAAAGCATTTGCTGAAATTCGATATCCATAACAAAAATGCGTCATGAAAATCCCAGCACATGTGTAATAAAATAAAGTTTATGAATTATAATTATATAAATAAAAATCAATAAAAGTGAAAAAGTCCCAGAATACAATCCCAGAGATTGCAAAATCCACGTTCGGGCTGCTTACTCATTGTTATTTTTCATCCAGATCTGTAAAAACCAAGTCACAAAACTTTAGCAAGTTACCAGGCAATTTTTGAGGCAGTGATCTTTCTAGATTCAAAAGAGAGAAATTTCTGAACATCCACTGAAAAGGTGTCCCCTTAGACTGAGCAGAGCCCACCTTCAATGGAAGGGGCAGAGACTCTGGAGACAAAGGAATAAAGGAGACAGGCAGGATAAGGGAAAGAACTTACCTCCCGGGATTATGGACGCAGAAAGTGGCCACAAAACAGGAACAGAAACCAGCATATCCAGGAAAGGTCTTTCTTTAACCAGACCAAGCCTCTCGTCCTAATGCCATCGCACTCAAACAGAACAGAGACTGTACTGGTGTCTCATCAGACCTGCAGTACCCAGAAGGCGCCACCAGAAAACAGGAGTCGACTTACCAGAGGACCTAAGGCCAACTGGTCAGTGAAGAGGTCGAGCCGAGCCTCCCAGATCGGTGAATCGGGACGCGGGGCCCTGGAACATCATCAGGGGGCACCTCCCCTATGGCCAGAACACCAAGCTGGAAAGATCAGAGTGAGGTCTTCCAGGAGGTGGTCTCCATATCTCGCTGGGGCCTCCAAAATGTTGTACGTGAGGGAGTGCAAACAGAGGGCCCCCACACGTTGATAAAATGTGATTGTCCCTTATTGCTGGCAACCGAGAGTGGGCTCATACCCCAAAGAACTCTCGACCCCGAAGCCCAAAGCAACAGGGTTTATAAAGGCAATAACCACAAAGAGGGGAGGGGGAACACATGGTTGAAAGGTCAAGCTGACCTAAGGTCTATGCAAAACTGTTTGCCATTTCAATCTGGACAATAGACAAATTACAATCGTCACATTAATCCAGGTGCAGCTTATCTGTTTTTAAGCTCGAGTGATCATGCCAGGGGGTTTCTATGCTCTGCCAAGTGTGAGGTAGGGGACTGCCGTTGTCTGAGTTCTTTTTGATCATAGTTTCAGACCAGAGTCTCACGGTGGTGGTGGGGGGTGGGGTGGGGGTGTTTTCTCAAGATGGAGTCTCAGGAGCTCCAAAATGGAGTCCCTACTGTCAAGGTGTTACTTCATAACAAGTGCAGGCATTGACAGAGAAGAACTAGAATTTTCATGCACTTCTGGTAGAGGTATAAATTAATACCACAAATCTTAGAAAACTCTTGGTAAGTATCTATTAGCACATACCCTGTTGTGATCCAGCAACTTAACCCCAGAAATATACCCAATGGAAATCCCTGCAAATACATACAAAAAGGTATGTGTAAGAACGTTCAAAGCCAAATGTCATTTCAAGAAGCTCAAACTATAAACAAAGCAAATGGTATCACCAATAAAATGGAAAAAACAAATGTTGTTCTACTCATTCAATGCATAACATATGAGGAAAACAATGAGAAAATAACCCACCACTGTTACTATGAGTGGACCTTACAATCGTCATATTGAAAGAAACCAAGCATCAAAGAACACATGGTGATTGGTTGTATTTGTAAAAAGTTCATAAACAGAAGACTAATCTCTGGCTGTGACAGGTGATGACTGTCAAGGAGCAGCTGGGGGCTGTTAGTGGTCTTGGATCTAAATCTGTAGTAATTACACTGGCTTGTTCACCACCTGTGCACCTGCGATTGACTCTCTCTACGTTCAATCACACGTCCATTTAAGAAGTGGGTATGAATTTTCCTGTTCCTTAGTTGTTTCTTTGACCTTGCATTTTGAAAATGATTTTGTCTCTTTTTCATGTTTTTTCTGTTGTTTTTTTTTTTTCCCCTCCCCCTTGGGCGTCAGGTCGAGTCAAATGGAGTCCTTCACCTGCAATAACTTTAGGAGCCAAGGCTTCCCGGGTTCAGTAGCCTCTGGTCCTGCCTCTGCGCTCAGCCACCTGCCTCTCGCAGGGGGCGCGGCGAGGAGGGGTCACCTCGCGCTCCAACTGCCCTCTAGCGGCCCAACTGTCACTCCTCGGCCTGGGATCCGGACGCCAAGCCATGTTGCGAGTCCTCTTTCTGCTCTGCGGGCTCAGCGGGCTCAGGACTAAGGAGAGTAAGTGAAAACCCTTCCACTCCCGACTTTCTACGAGCGACGGCCGTCCTAGCCCTTTGCCTCGGTTACCCTGGAGGTCCCTGGGAAGGAGCCTGCCTGTGGGGCGCACGCTGCGCAAGCTGAGGCCCATCTGCACGTTGAAAATTCGCATTGGATGGTGCGGTGGGGTGGCGGGTTCCCACTTCTGAGCCCTGGGGAGAGGTGAGAGATTCCCTGGCTTTGGCGGACGCCCCAAGATGGGAGCTTTAGCTCCTGCAGTACATTTTTGCAGTTACTGAAGTCCAAGGCCTGTTCTGTGGTTGGAAGACCCGGATTTGGGATGATTTGTACCTTGGGCCCATCTGCCCAGCTTTACAACATCCTTCGCACCGGACAGCATTCCTAGAGCAATATACCTATTCCCCTCGTAATTCTAGAAAGAAATGCGAAAAGATAGTGAAACTGAGAGGCGGCATTTAGAACACAGGTTATGGATTTAGAGAGGAAATAATGAACGAAGCCTTTTAGGCGATGGGTTGTGTTCTGATGCAACATTTTATACTTTGCAGATTCTGAAAGGCTACACGTCCAGGTTACAGTCCCAGAGAAAATGCGCTCAGTAACAAGCGAAGGATTTGAAACAGAAGTAATGAATCATTACATTGTTCACATTTTAAAAATCACGTGACTATTTTGTTCCCAAGAGGTTAGCCATCTTTCCCCCATGTACAGTTGCTGGATTTTATATGTCTTTTCATGTTTTCTTGAAAGGGTTTTGGAAAGTGAACCAGGATTAACAATGTTTCACGGAGGTGACAGGACAGTGGCACTAGCTATCTAGCTGTCCACAGCCCCAAGTCCCACCTCCCAGATGGTTTCCTCTTGGGTGTCTTCAAATACTCATTGCCTGATCCATCTATTGCTCTTCTCACTCACCAGTCTCTCTCTCTCTCTCTCTCTATATATATATATATATTTTTTTTTTTTAAAGGGAGCCTTACAGGAGACAATGATCACTTGAATTAATGATGTTATATTAATGATTTTTCCATCTTGATTGCAAAATTTTAAAGATTAAGACCATTCACAAAAATATAAAAAAATGATACAAAACAAATAACAACAATTAGCTTGTGCAGCCATTATTTAGTCAGGCAAAAAGCAATGGCCACATAGAATAAAAGAGGATTATAATAGAGATGGAGATGTGATTATGGTGAGATATGGAGGACAGATTTTTAATTGAACGATCTAAGGATTGAATGTGCCAATAAATTTGGAAACGTTGAGGAGATAGGCCATTTCATAGAAAAACAAATTCATGGAAAACAGAGAAATATGAAATGTCCAAGATTTTAAAAATTTGAAGCTATTATAAAAGCCTCTTCTCCTTCTTCAAAAATACAGAAATATTTAAAGCTAAGAAAAGCATAAGGTAAATAGTTTTACAAATAAAATATTTTATAGATGAAGAATTTTGTAAAAGTTCTTGTGGGAGGAGATAATGCCTAATAAATATGATAAGAGAAATATGTAACCTGATACCCAAAAGAAACTGGGACAACATGAAAAAATTCAAGCCAAATTTATTCATGATTGTATCTGCCAAACATAAACTAATACAGCAAAGTAATCTAATACAATGAAGTATTGATAATGGCCAATGATAAAATGTAATTTATACCTAAATTGTCCCAATGATTGAGTCTTGGAATAACAAAGAAGTTTACTTAAAAAAAAAATCACATGAGAAACTGAATATTTACATAGCAATGAAGCAGAAAAATCCCAAAGGTTGAGGGTGGGGGGTTTGAGGAAGGATAGACCAAAGGAAGATGTGTTGATTGAAAGATAGAAAGTTTTAATTAGACTTAAAGAAAAAATTTTAGTGATCTATTGCACTGCACAGTGACCAGAGTTAATGTAAATGTTTATTTCAAAGTTGATAGATAGAATAGATTTCTGAGCTTGTCACCACACACACACACACACACACACAGTAAGTTGGTAGACAAAACATCACATTGTATAGTCTTGTAAAAACAATGAAAAACAACTAATTTAAAATACTCAACAGGAAACATAATTGTGCAAGATCCTGTCATAAGAATAAATCTTTACAAATTCATCTTTGCAAAGGCTCCTGGGTACTAACACTGTATGGGAAAAATATCCTGTGGAACAACCTATGAAATCAAAATTGCTGAATTTAAAATGAGCTTGAAGCAAATTTAGAACCTCTTTTATAATTAAAAAGGCCTCCACCTTGAGGAAGTGCTTGATCATCCTACCAACAGAAGGAATGGAATAGAACAGATTAGGAGAGGTGGAAGGGAGTCAATTTAAGAACCTGAATCTAAAAATCTGGAACAGACCAAGCAGGAAAAATTCTTTCAACTAGAGCTGTCTGTTTCCTTAGAGGAGAAAATAAAATGCTAGTCTGAAAATCAAATCTATTCTATATTTCAGTTGTCTGTCTACAGAACAACCATAGTAAATTATATGTAGTTCTATATCTGTAACTATGTTAACTTTTTCACGATGGATCTTTTAGCTGTTAATAAAACACCATTGAGAGTAGGACTGAGTTACCTACTGTGGGTCCTGCTGCACTATGGGCTATGGGTGTATTAGGCGAGTAGTCCTGCCTTACAGAATGATGTCTTAACGGTTATTCCAAGGCAACAGTACTTTGATGCCTGATTATATTCCTTCCTTGAAAAACATCCACTGAGCACCTACTGTGTGCACTGCCTTACGAGAAAAGCAAAAATGAGGATTAAATAATTCATGGGTGGGTAAGAAAGTTGGGAAGGCATAGGAGTAAATGCCAAATGCATGATAGATCCAACATCTCCAGATACCCTGGAAGTCACTAGCTGTTGCTTCCACACATTTCTGTTATGGCATGTTCAAGCTGATCTTCCGAGAGTATTCCAAATATGATGGGTGCTTTGGAGAATGCTTTTGAAATGAATTATTGAATTTAGAGGATGGATACTTTCAGTTCATGTGATGTGGAAAGACTCCAAGAAGAAAGCAACTCGGTAGATCTCACAGAACAAAGGAATTGTGATGCAAAGAATTAGTCGGGGGAAGACACTTATAGGAAAATTTAAAGTCTGGGAAATGGAGCTGGAAGTTTTACATCGTGTCTCCTACTTCACAGTGCCCTTCCTCTATGCTTTTCCTTCTAGATTGGTTTTCAATATGTAACACCTACAATAAAAAGAAAAAATTACTTAAGATAAATAGAGCATATTGATTTTTATTTTAAATATTTTTCCAAGTAAAGTTCAGTGTAGAACGTTGGCTTAAGTTGTCCACACTGTTACAGCTACAGATACAACTGCACTTGTCTGCAGAGTCCTATTGCAATAGAATAGTTTGTTTATGTATTGTATACTAGTACTATGTGCTGAATTATCTCCCTCCTTGCCCAAAATTCACATCGAACCCTAATCCCATCATTCCTTAGTGAAACTATATTGGGAGATAGGGCACTTAGAGAGATATGTAAATTAAAATAAATTAGTTAGGGTGGGCCTTAATCCACTATGACTGATGTCCTTATAAGAAAAGGATCCACAAACCTGTAGAGACAAAATTGCCCATTGGTTGGACACCATTTCTTAATCTTCATATTAATAAAATAGATCAATGGGTATTACAACCAACTTGACAAAAATTTATAAAATGTATACATAGTCAACATGATGTACAGGTAGTTCTTTGTTCTCTTATGTATTTTCCATTGAGTAATTTAGTTATATTCTATTTCAAACATGGCCTTTTCAGTGTCCTCAGTCTTTATTAAGTTGTCACAAATGATGGATGAGAGATAATTCAACTTTTAAATTCTATTTTGTTAATAAATTTAAAAAATCAGCAAGTAAGAAATTCCACAAATTATCTTATTCTAGCTATTATTCTTACTGTGAAAGCTAGTGACATCAGTTTCCATTGAAATAAACCAACATTAGATTCTAAATTTTCTTCTTTTTTGATATTAGTGTGTTTTAGGATGCAATTCATGTTAAACAGTGGCTTTTCTTCCTAACTTCTTTTTCCTCACTTCCTTTGCCTTTTCAATGTACTCTCCTGCCAGGTGGTCTACAACATTGTCATTGAAGGGAAGACATACACTTTGAACCTAATGCAAAAGTAGGTGGTCTTCACTATTTGATTAGCTGTCTTTATTCAGTTTATAATTATTGTTTGTCATTATCCAGAATGTGATTATTTTGCATTTGAAAATGTTTCTAGCTACTAGCTGTTCATTTTTCTCTTATTTGATGCTTTGAAAGACACTTTTAAGTCTATGGAATATATATCCAGAACTTGAACCATAGTGTATGCTCCACCCCATCCCCCTCAGTCCTGGTAGCAGCAGATTGCTATTGGCTATCCAAGAGACTTCATGGAGGATACATTGTAATACTCTTCTATCTGCTTGAAGACACAAATGTGGTTTGCTTTCAAGTTCACTTATTATCAACTTATATTTGAAAGATCATAGCTGATTCTTTGATGATCTGAACCATAGCAATAGTTTTATTAGTGTGCATACCCTGTCACAGAGTATTAAGGACTTAGATTACAGTTGAAATTAGCCATACTCAGTCTCATGCCATCTGATGAAGTTGGAAAAAGCAAGCACAATATATACTAAAGAATAAAGAAAAAGAAAATTGAAATAGTCCCTTTTTAAATGTTAAGAATAGTCTTGTAGAAACAATGAAAGGCAGAAGCTTGCAAACAAGTTACCAACTCAATTCCCCCAAAAGAAATGCATCTTCACTATTTCTAGAATTCCTAGCTGCAATCCTTTTATATCATAAAATTTGGAAAATGTTTTCTATGTATGGCATAAGATAGATGGAATTAGTTTAAAGGAAAACATCAAAAGGAGACTCAAAATTACTTCTTTTTTAAAGATTTGGTTTATTTGAAAGGCAGAGTTAGAGAGAGGAGAGAGAGAGAGATCAATCTTCCATCACTGATTCACTCCCTAGAGAGCCACCACAGCCGGGGCTGGGTCAGGCTGAAACCATGAGCCAGGAGTTCCATCCAGGTCTCCCATGTGGGTGGCAGGGGTCCAAACATTTGGGTCATCTCCTACTGCTTTTCTAAGGCCATTAGCAGGGAGTTGGATTGGAAGTGGAGCAGCCAGGACTTGAACTGGTGCCCACATGGGATGCTGGAATCACAGGTGGTGGTTTTAACTGCTATACCACAACACTGGTCCTTCTCTTCTTTTTCATACATTATAGTTATGTACATTTCTTTAAAAAAATATTTATTTATTTATTTATTTGAAAAGTGGAGTTACAGAGAGAGGCAGAGGCAGAGGCAGAGCAAGAGAAGTCTTCCATCCACTGGTTCACTCCCCAGATGGCTATGACTGCCAGGGCTGGCTCAGACCAAAGCCAGGAACCAGGAGCTTCATCCAAGTCTCCCACCTGGATGCAGGGGCCCAAGAACTTGGGACACCATCTGCTGCTTTCCCAGGCACATTATCATGGAGCTGGATCAGAAGTGGAGCAGCTGGGACTTGAGCCAGCACACATATAGGATGCTGGCACTGCAGGCCTCAGCTTAACCCACTGTGCCACAGTGACAGCCCCAGTTCTGTGTATTTCTAAACCCCAATAATGTATTAGTATTAATTTTCATATGGTCAATATTTCTTAACCAGAACACTTATCACTCTGGTGCTATTCATTTCTCCCTACATTTGTATATTTCTATCTGAAGTTAGTTTTCATATGACTTGGGAATTCCCTACATAATTCTGTTGTAAAATTACTAGTTTTTAATTATATGTCTTTGCCTGCTATTAAATCTTCTTGTTATTTTTGCCCCAGCTTTATAATGGTATAATTCACAAAGATTGCATGTACTCAGGGTTTATAAAACTATATTTTGAGACTTGCATGCAGCGTGAAATGACTAAATCAAGCTGATTAGCCTATCCATCACCTCAAATATCTATCTTTTGGTGATGAGACTATTTAAGTTCTCATCCCTTGGACACTTCTTAGGAATATTACATTATTATTGGTATCACCATGCTGTTCAGTAGATCTCTAAACTTTTTTATCTTGTGTATCTGAAACTTTGTATCCTTTTTTTCTTTTTAAAAGATTTATTTATTTATTTATTTATTTATTTATTTATTTGAAAGGCAGAGTTATAAAGAGGCAGAGGAAGTGGGAGAGGGAGAGGTCTCTTTCAGATGGCCACAATGGCCAGAGCTGAGCTGATCTGAAGCCAGGAGCCAGGAGCTTCTTCCAGGTCTCCCACATGGGTTCAGGGGCCCAAGGACTTGGGCTATTTTCTACTGCTTTCCCAGGCCATAGCAGAGAGCTGGATTGGAAGAGGATCAGATGTGTCTTGGGGCCAGCGCGGTGTCATAGTGGGTTAATGCTCTGGCCTGAAGCACTGGCATCCCATATGGGCTCCGGTTCTAGTCCCAGCTGCTCCACTTCTGATCTGGCTCTCTGCTATGGCCTGGGAAAACAGTGAAAGATGGCCCAAGTCCTTGGGCCCCTGTACCTTTGGGGGAGACCCAGAAGACGCTCCTGGCTCCTGGCTTTGGATCGGTGCAGCTCTGGCCATTGCAGCCATCTGTGGGGTGAACCTCTCTCTCTGTCTCTACCTCTCTCTGTAACTCTTTCAAATAAATAAAATAAATCTTAAACAAACAAATAAATAAATGTGCTGATAAGATAAAATGTAACAAAAAAAAAAAAAAAAAAAGGAGAATCAGCCAGGACTCTAACGAGTGCTCATATGGGACCCCGCACTGCAGATTGTGGCTTTAACCACTATGCCACAGTGCCAGCCCTGAAACTTTACATCCTTTAACCATCATCTCATCATTCCTCTGCTCCAGCCCCTAGAAGTCACCATTTTGCTCTCACCTTCTATGAGTCTGAAATGTTTAGATTCTGCTTATAAGTGATATCATGCAGTGGTTTTCTTTCTGTGCCTTGTTAATTTCTTTTAACTTAATTTCCTCCACTTTAATTCATGTTCTCCCAAATAACAGTATTTCCTCTTTTTTTTTTTTTTTTTTGACAGGCAGAGTGGACAGTGAGAGAGAGAGACAGAGAGAAAGAGAGAAAGGTCTTCCTTTTGCCGTTGGTTCACCCTCCAATGGCCGCCGCGGCCAGCGCACTGCGGCCGGCGCACCGCGCTGATCCGATGGCAGGAGCCAGGAGCCAGGTGCTTTTCCTGGTCTCCCAAGGGGTGCAGGGCCCAAGCACCTGGGCCATCCTACCTGCACTTCCCTGGCCACAGCACAGCAGAGGGCTGGCCTGGAAGAGGGGCAACCGGGACAGAATCCGGCGCCCCGACCGGAACTAGAACCCGGTGTGCCGGCGCCGCTAGGCGGAGGATTAGCCTAGTGAGCCGCGGCGCGGGCCCGAGTATTTCCTCTTTTTAAAGGCTCAATATTATATGTGTGTATGTGATGTGTGTATATATACATGTGTGTGCATATATGTGTGTGTGTGTATATTTATATATCTCCTTTATTCATTCATTGGCAGATGCATTTGTCTTGACTATTGTGAGTATAGCTACAATGAACATGAAATGTAGATGTCTCTTTGGTATATTATTTTCCTTGAATATATACCCAGAAGTGGAGTTGCTGGATTATATGTAGTTCTATTTTTAATTTTTGAGGATCTTCTTTTTTACATAATGACCATATTAATTTATATCCCCACTAACAGTGTGCAAGTGTTTCCTAGTCTCCATGTCTATGTCAACACTTGTTATCTTTGGTCTTTTTGATAACCACCATCTTTAACAGGTATGAGATAATATATCACTGTAGATTTAATTTGCATTTATGTAATGACCAGTGATATTGGGCATTTTTATATTTCTATTTCTATTTATATTTCTTTTGAGAAATGTCTATTTAGATCCTTTGCCCATTGTTTCATTGGGTTATTTGTTTTCTTGCCATTGGGTTATTTGAACTCCTTATATATTTTAGATATTAACTCCTTATCAGATGCATGATTTGCATATATTTCCATGTTTTCTGTAGCTTATGTCTTCACACTTTTGACTGCTTCCTTTGTTGTTTACAAACTTTTAGAGTTTGTCTACTTCTGCTTTTATTGCAAGTGCTTTTGACTCATATTAAAAAATCATTGAACAGACCAATGTCAAGAAATTTTTCCCTTGTGTTTTCTGTAGAAGTTTCAGTTTCAAGTCTTATGTTTAAGTCTTGAACTTTTGTTTGTATTTTTGTTTATTTTGTTTTTGTATTTTGTATTTTGTTTATTTTGTTTGTATTTTGTTTGCTTTTGTTTGTATATGATGTGAGATAAGGGTCTAGTTTTAGTCTTCTGCATGTAGATATCATTTTCAAAACACGATTTTATGAAGAGAGACTGTTCATTCCCCATTATGTGTTAATGGCAACAGAGTAGTTGACTGTGAATGTAGGGAGTTGTTTCTCTGATATCTATTCTGTTCCCTTGGTCTATGTGCCTGTTTTTTACACTTGTACCAACACCATTTTGATTACTATAGCTTTGAAGTGTATTTGAATCAGGTAATCTGATGATGCATCCAGTTGTGTTCTTTTGCTCAAGATTTTTTCAACTATTCAGAGAAATAGGTCACCAAGGAGGTAACAAATTCTGTACACTAAAAATTCTCTCTCTGCCAACCTACACACACACACACACACACACAAATATAATATATATATTTATATAAATAATAAATAATATATTTTATATATAAATAAAATATATTATATAAATATAATAAACCTTTCTCAAAACCAAAGTTTAGGAAACAAATTTTTCCAATAAATACCTTTTATCTTCATTTTACAGAACTTTTTTGCCTCGTGATTTTAGAGTTTATGGTTATGATAGCACAGGAATTATGAAAGACCTTGAACAACAATTTCAGGTATGTTCATATTGTCTGTTTAACCTTTGTCATCTGAGTTTCTATGAACACCTTATTTAGGACCCACATGTTACTGGAGTACAAAGAGTTGATGCTATTTTTTTTTTTTTGGCCATGAATTTAATCATTTGCTTTTGCTGATGTGTACTGAGTTAATAATGTTAAACAGATGATTAACCAAATCAACTGTGATTTTGATGTTTCTAAACCATTTGTTTCATGATGATGTACATATATATGTGTGTGTGTACTGTGGCAGTATGGGACTGGATATGTCATGAAACTCTCAAAATTGGAAATTATGATTTGAGTCAGTAGAGCTCATCCCAGCCATCTCTTTCCCACAAACCAGACAGCTAGAGTGAAGCCTATGTATTCACTAAATCTGTGGGTTTCCTACTAATGCTTCTCCTCTTCCCCCACCCACCCCAACCTCCACCATTTTTGAATGTGCCCTTGGGCTTGAACTTCTCTGTGTTGTGTTTCAAATGCAATCCGTTCACCTGGGAAGAAATTAGGTATGTGATAGCCTCTCACACCAGGCAACATCTCTGGGCCAAGGCTGTGGAGTTTGGCTATGCATGGAATGTTTCCATGTATCCCCCCTAAAATTCATACATTGAAGCACTAGTCCTCAAGGCGATGGTATTTAGAAGTGGGGCCTTTGCAGGATGATGAAGTCGTGAAGTAAAGGCACACATGGGAGTGGAATTAGTGCCCTCACGTGGAGAGAGAAACCAGGTATGACCTGCGGGCACGGGGAAGTGTGGGAGAGATGGCCAGAAGCACAGCATTCTGTGGGATTGGCTAGGGGAGCATAGTTTACTTTCTCTGATTGCTCCTAAATTGGAAGCTGAGATAAAAATTATGAAAGCTGGGGACCAGTGTTGTGGTGCAGTGGATTAGGCTGCCACTTGCGACACTGGCATCCCATATCCGAATGTTGATTTGAGTCCCAGCTCCTCTGCTTCCGATCTACCTTCCTGCTAATGCACCTGGGAAGGCAGTGGAAGATGGCCAAGTAATTAGGCCCTTGTCACTCACATGGGAGACTCAGATGAAGCTCCTGGCCCCTGGCTTCAGCCTGGAAAAGACCTGGCTGTTGTGATCATTTGAGGAGTGAACAAACAGATGAAAGATCTCTCCCTCCCTCCCTCTCTCTCTCTTTCTCTCTCTCTCTCTCTCACACACACACACATTCTGCCTTTTGTGTAAATAATTAAGTAGATAACTAAATCTTAATTTTTTTTTCAAATTAGAGAAACTGTCAGTTATTCGTCAAGTCTTGGCCACTTTGAATGATTGCTATAGAAATTCTTGTTGAATTTCTTGGACTGTGCCTGGAGATAGCAATCTGGTTTCCTGCAAAGTCTGGCTTCAAACAGGTCGGCTCTCCAGGTCATTCACTGTAGTGAGGGGGTTCATTTCCTGGACAGCTTGCTGCGGGTTGTAGATCAGAGTTCTTTTTGGTTTGGCCTGGCTATCAATAACTTTTTTTAAAAAAGAAAGTTTTTTTTTTTAAATTTATTTATTTGAGAGGTAGAGTTACAGACAGCAAGAGAGAGAGAGACAGAAAAAGGTTTTCCATCCACTGGTTCACTCCACAAATGGCCACAACAGCCAGAGCTGAGCTGAGCTGAAGCCAGGAGCTTCTTCCAGGTCTCCCAAGCAGATGCAGGGGCCCAAGCACTTGGGCCATCTTCCACTGCTGTCCCTGGCCACTAGCAGAGAGCTGGATTGGAAAAAGAGTAGGCAGGACTCGAACTGGAGCCCATATGGGATGCCGGCGCTACAGCTGGAGGATTAACTTAGTGCGCCACAGTGCCGGCTCCTCAATCACTTTTATATTCAGTGCTGTGTTCCATATATTGTTTCTCACTAATTGAAGAAAAATGTTAGCCACTATGCTTTCAAATATTGTATACCCCTTTTCCCTTTCCATTTTTATGAAATTCCAATCAAATGTTTGTTAATTAATGTTTCCTCACCTCACAGATTGCTGAAGCTATGTTTGATATTTAAATCTTTTCACTCTGCTTCCTTTCACAGTTGATAATTTTTAAAGCTCTATCTTCTAGTTTATTTTGAAGATTTTAGTTTTATTTATTTTATTTTTTATTTATATTTTATATATTTATATTTTATTTTATGTATTTATTTTTATTTATTTATTTGAAGGGTAGAGACACAGATAGGGAGAGACAGAGAGAGAGGTCTTCCATCCGCTGGTTTGCTCCCCAAATGGCCACAGCAGCAGGAGCTGAGCTGATCCAAAACCAGGAACCAAGTGATTTTTCTAGGTCTCCCCTGTGTGTGCAGGGGTCCAAGTGCTTGGGCCATCTTCCACTGCTTTCCCAGGCCATTAGCAGGGAGCTGGATTGGAAGAGGAGCAGCTGGGACATGAACCAGCACCCATATGGGATGCCTGTGGAGACTTCGCCTACTATGCCATAGTGCTGGCACCCTCATTTATTTTGACACTCTCTTTTGTCATCTTCAGTGTGCATTCAAACCTACCCACCCACTGTATTTCACTGTAAATATATGCCATTCCAGTTGGTTTTTTATAATCTATATTTCTCTGCTGAATGTCCTAGTTGATTCCCTTGGAACAAATATCCCTTTAGGTTCTTGGTCACATTTTAATTATCTGCTTTAGAGTAATTTTTTATTAATTTCAACATCTTATTATTAGGAGTTATTTCAGAGTAAATTATCTTTCTGATTTTTCTCTCAACCATGGGCAACACTTTCCTTTTATATATCCAGTATATTTCTAATCTCATAGTGGCCATGTTTAATAATACAATGTAGAACTTGTGAATCTTTCTCTACAGAGTTTCCTTCTTGTTCTAGCAGGCAGTTAACTGGATGGAGCCACCTTCTAAGCTGTGCTCTCCCATGTTGGGAGATGGACAAACACAGGGTTATTCTCATCACTTCTTCAGCTTTTCTGATCTCGATTTCTGCTGGCCTTCTTCAGATTTCCCCACCTTCATGGTTCCAGTGGAAGTAAAGCGGTTACCCCTGTGTTAATAGTGCATCCTCTGGGGCCTCACGTGGTGCCTCTCTCCTTTCTTGGATAGTGCATGTCACTTTCTGGGCACTTTTGAAACCATGACCCCTACCGTTAAGCCGTAAGATTGGACTTTCTGTTGGAACATTAGCCACTTGTGATATCATGCTTGGGAGAGTGCTTTCGGATAAAAACTTATAATTAAAGTCACAGCAAATGCCATTGTCTTCTTTAGTCAGTTGCATTCTCTTTTATTTTGCAGTTTGCCTATGTGTCAGTCCTTTTTTAAAAAGATTTATTTATTTATTTGAAAGGCAGACATACAGAGAGAAGGAAAGAGAGAGAGAGATAGAGAGAAGATAAATATCTTCCTTCCTCTGGTTCACTCCCCAAATAGCCACAGCTGCTGGGGCTGGACCAGGCAGAAGTCAGGAGCCAGAAGCTTCCTCTGGGTCTCCCACATGGTGCATCGGCCCAAGTACTTGGGCCATCCTCCGCTGCTTTCCCAGGTGCATTAACAGGGAGCTGGATCGCAAGTGGAGCAGCTGGGACTTGAATCGGCGCCCATATGGGATTCCGGCACCACAGGTGGAAGCTTAACCTTCTACGCCATGGCACTAACCACCCCGTGTTAAAGTTTTTTCCCCCCCAAAGAAACCGTTTATTTAATGAATACAAATTTCATAAGTACAACTTTAGGAATATAGTGACTCTTCCCATCACGTCTGCCCTCCCACCCCACCTCCAAGTGGTATCTGTGAGAGAGTTAATACTATAATATAAGCTACTCTGCCATTATATTCAAATAATTTTGAAAAAAAAAATTTCTCCTTTGGATTAATTTTTTCTACCATACAAATTTAAGCCAGAAGAGACTGAAAAAAATGGTTTTTGATGCTTTTTACCTTTTCCTAATGACTTAGAATGTCATGATTTACTTATATAGGAAAAAATATAAAAATGTACTGGGGCCGGCACTGTGGCACAGCAGGTTAAAGCCCTGGCCTAAAGTGTCGGCATCCCATATGGGTGCCAGTTCTAGTTCCAGCTGCTCCTCTTACGATCCAGCTCTCTGCCATGGCCCAAGTCCTTGGGCCCCTGTACCTGCCGGGGAGACCCAGAAGAAGCTCCTGGCTCCTGGCTTCGGATCGGTGCAGCTCCAGCCATTGTGGCCATCTGGGGAGGGAACCAGTGGATGGAAGACCTCTCTCTCTGTCTCTATCTCTCTCTGTAACTCTGTCTTTCAAATAAATAAAATAAATCTTTAAAAAAAGAAAATGTGCTTAGTTATTATGAGCCTGTGGGGAATGCTTTGGAAATTTGAGCCATATGCTCATTTAATAATCTTAATTGGAAACAATGAGTATTTGATTCATTCACACACTCAGATAAATGTTTCAGATATTTGAAAATACCATCTTTAACAAGAATAATTCTAGCAGAGATAAATGTGTTTTATCTTTATCTTTCAGAACTTTTGCTACTACCAAGGGTTTGTTGAAGGTTATCCAAATTCTATGGTGATCGTCAGTACATGTACTGGACTCAGGTTGTAATAGATATGTATCATTTTATGGGCTGGAAGGTGGAATATTTACTTGGAAATTATTTTTGGTAATGGCTCCTACCTTCATACTGAATTAAGATTTTTGATGAATTTGGTGACGATGAAATAGGAATAGCTAGGCAGACGGTGGGAGTATGGCTTTTCTGTGTCGCCGAGTGAGTGTGGGTGTTCTGTGACCTTTTCCAACTTTAGCACCTACAGTTAAGGCTGATAGTAATTTTCAGGCCATTACAAAATGAAGTGACATTTAACTGACTTTTAAACTGTGTTATTTCATTTCTTCACTTTTTTTTTTTTTAATTTGTAGGGGCTTACTACAGTTTGAAAATGTTACTTATGGAATTGAGCCCCTGGAGTCTTCGATTGGTTTTGAGCATGTGATTTATCAAGTAAAGAATAAGAATGAAAGCATTTCTCTCTATGCTGAGAAGGAGGTGGAATTCAGAGATTTGCCCTATAAAGTACAGAGTGTGCAGGTAGGTGACTAAGTAAGCTGTGTGGTTGTTACAGCAATGTAAACACAAGTTTCTCTGATACATTATTTACATACCTACACACACATATCATGAGCTTCAAACTAGTTGTACAACTTTGCTATATCCCAGCCGTGGAGTCTTCAACTGGCATGCGTCTCCCGTTCTGGATAGTCACATACGTGAGTGCTCCACATAGTGATGGTATTGACTACTTACTCCTAATGTTTCTGGAATAAGTAAGGAAAGAAAAGAGTAAACTCAAATATGTGAATTTCCAGCTCAAGTGCTATATAGATGGCCTGGAAGCTATGAAGGGAAAGAGGGAGACCAAAAGGCAGGGAAGGGGTGGGAGGAGGCACAGAGAGAGAGAGAGAGAGAGAGAGAGAGAGACCTGCCATCTAACTGTTCACTCCCCAAAGGTTTTCAACAACCACGGTTGGGCCACGCCAATGCCAGGAACCCTGAACCCCAGCTGGGTCTCCTACCTGAGGGACAGGGCCCAAGCATTGGAGCCATCATCGGCTGCTCCCCAGGATGCATTAACAGGAAGCGGGATTGGAAGAAGCAGTGCTGGTACTCAGGATGGGATGCAGCTATTCCAAGCAGTGTCTTAACTGCTGCACCACAATGCCTGCCCCTAAAAATAAATGTAGGATAAAATAAGCAGAACTCTTCATTATGCATTCACAATGCTACTCTCCTTCGTATTCAGGCTTCACGCTGGAATAAGAGGAATTGTCTTTCTTACTGTCTCACACTTCCTTAACTTTTCATTTCACTAGAACTTGATTTCCCTTTCCAAAAATAATCAGTGGTAATACGCTGCTAAATCAGCTATTTGAAATATTAGATGCATTTTTAAAGAGTGAAATAAAATAAAAACTTAATAGAGTTTTGGACTTGATTTACCTCCTCCTTCTTATTCTCACTTTTTTCTGGTTTTGTCCTATGCAAGGGGACTTCAAAAATTTCATCAAAAACCTGGAAGTATATTTTGGTGCAAAAGTAATTGAAATTCTTGCATAGTGTTTTCCTCATAGGCATTTTCCGTGAACATTTTGAGGACCCCTTGCACATCCACATTGTACCTACTGCTACTGCCTGTGTTAATCTCACGTTTTTCTTTGTCTTATTATACATGCCTTCCATGACTTGACCTACAATGCCTTACACATCACCCACTTCCCACTCCACATTTTCTCCTGAGTTACTGATCCCATATGGGACATATTTGTTACCCAGGTTTACAAAAACATACAGACACAAAGACTATCTGTCTATCCTCATGTTTCTTTTCACTCCCTGAATATTCTCACCACTGACCTTGGACATATTTAAATCTTTAATCCATCAACATTGCAACCAGCTGAACCCAGTAGCGTGTTCTCTGATTTTCTTTTCTTTCTCTCCCTACAATTCTTTACTATTTATCTGGTCAGGACAGTCTTCATCCTGCGTTTAGAATCAGCTTTATTATACATCTAAGTACTTTTCTCTCTTCCTATGGCAATTTTCTCTTCCTAAATAAAAGGAGTTTTGAAGTCTTGAGATCTGACACCTGTCCATCTTTCCAACACACACTTGTCCCAGCATTCTCTAATGCACCCTTGTACTGAATTTGTATTTGTTTGACTGAAGTGGACTGCTTGTTTGTTCTCCAAACAAGATTGTTTTAAGGAAATAAGTGGACAAATCATTAAAGTAAATATAGGGGCTGGCGCTGTGGCTCACTTGGTTAATCCTCCACCTGCAGTACCAGCATCCCGTGTGGGCACCTGGTTCTGGTCCCAGTTGCTCCTCTTCCAGTCCAGATCTCTGCTGTGGCCCGGGAAGGCAGTGGAGGATGGCCCAGGTGCTTAGGCCCTTGCACCCACATGGGGGACCAGGAGGAGGCGCCTGGCTCCTGGCTTTGGATTGGCATAGCACTGGCCATGGAGGCCATTTGGGGGGTGAAACAACAGAAGGAAGACCTTTATCTCTACTCTCTCTCACTGTCTAACTCTGCCTGTCAAATAAAAAAAAAAAAAAAAAGTAAATACAACCAGTCTCAATCCCAAACATGAAAATAAGCAGAGATTACTTCAAGGAATGTTAGACAATTGACAGATAGTGTTGGTTAGAATAAAGAAATAGAGCTGGCACTGTGGCTCACTTGGTTAATCTGCCACCTGTGGTGCCGGCATCTCATGTGGGTGCCGGGTTCTAGTCCTGTTTGCTCCTCTTCCAGTCTAGCTCTCTGTTGTGGCCCAGGAAGGCAATGGAGGATGGCCCAGGTCCTTGGGCCCTGCACCCGCATGGGAGACCAGGAGGAAGCACCTGGCTCCTGGCTTCGGATCGGTGCAGTGCTGGCCATAGCAGCCATTTGGGGGGTGAACCAATGGAAAAGGAAGGCCTTTCTCTCTCTCTCTCTCTCTCTCTCTCTCTCTCTCTTACTCTCTCACTGTCTGTAACTCTACCTGTCAAATTAAAAAAAAAAGAATGAAGAAATAGTTTTGAATTTTCCAACCCATTAATATAATATTTCCTGTCAATTATTTACAGTCAGTGAAGTAGTCTTATTTAGAGATGAAGTGCGTGCAAAGGACTTTCCCACAAAAACTACCACACACTAGGTACCTATTGTTGGCTAGAAATGATGAGAAAGGGGCTGGCATTGCGGCGCAGTGAGTTAAGCTGTGCCTGCACTGCTGGCATTCCGTAATGGAGCACCAGTTCACATCCCAGCTCACTGCAAATGTGTCTGGAAAAGCTGTGCAAGATGGCCCAAGTAACTCGGGTCCCTGCCATCCATGTGGGAAGACGCGGTTGGAGCTCTGGGCTCCAGGTTTTAGTCCCATTAAGGGAGTTAAACTGGGGATGGAAAATATTCTCTCCTACCTCCCTTCAAATAAATAAATTTTAAAACAACGCCGGCGCCGTGGCTCACTAGTCTAATCCTCCGCCTTGTGGCGCCAGCAACCCGGGTTCTAGTCCCGGTCAGGGCGCCGGATTCTGTCCCGGTTGCCCCTCTTCCAGGCCAGCTCTCTGCTGTGGCCCGGGAGTGCAGTGGAGGATGGCCCAAGTACTTGGGCCCTGCACCCCATGGGAGACCAGGATAAGTACCTGGCTCCTGCCATCGGATCAGCACGGTGCACCGGCCGCAGTGTGCTGGCCGCGGCGGCCATTGGAGGGTGAACCAAATGGCAAAGGAAGACCTTTCTCTCTGTCTCTCTCTCTCACTGTCCACTCTGCCTGTCAAAAAAAATTTTTTTTTAAACAAAATAAATCTTAAAAAAAAAAAAGAAAAGAAATGATGAGAATCCAGCTTGACCATGAGGGGATTTCATCTCTTTTAAAATAAAATCCTAAATCTCTAAGCTTTGAGCCAGTGAAGAGACCCTTAAACTTGTATAAAATATGTCAGCAATAAACCCTAATTTTTCCCTACTGACCTTTCTTACAGTTTTTCTCCTTTAAGTTGCTGTAATTATCACTCTTCTGATCTACACTTAAACCCAGATTTGTTACTCCCCATTTAATGTATCTTTTTGTGTGTTAAGGAAGACATTTTAGCTAAGATAAGATTGTTTTGAATAATCAAAAGGTCAAATACCAGTATGAAAAAGCAAAACTGTAAATAAATGTAGTGAAACTTTCCTCAAATTCTGAAGCTTTACCTTCCTATCTGCACTGGGATATGGTCTGGTGCACTCACTTATGTGATATTGCTATGTTAGTGACAAAATATTTTGAGTTAATTGACACTATAGTCTCAAAGTGCTTGCAAAGTGTCTGTTCTAATTTTTCAAGTAATTTCTCCTTGGTTGCCTTCATGTAATGAAAATGATGAAAATAGATGATTTTTTTCATGAATAATGACTATAAAAATGATTATTCCCATTTTTTAACAGAGCCTAACTGATAGAAAAGTTAAGCCAGAGTTGAAACTCAGGGGGCTGACGCTATGGCGTAGTGGGTAAAGCTGCTGCCTGCAGTGCTCGCATTCCATATGGGCGCTTGTTCGAGACCCGGCTGCTCCACTTCCAATCCAGCTCTCTGCTATGGCCTGGGAAAGCAGTAGAAAATGGCCCAAGTCCTTGGCCCCCTGCATGCACGAGGGAGACCCACAAGAAGCTCCTGGCTTTGGATCTGCACGGCTCCAGCCAGTGCAGCCGATTGGGGAGTGAACCAGTGGATGGAAGACCTCTCTCTTTGCCTCTCCTTCTCTCTCTGTGGAACTCTGACTTTCAAATAAATAAATATTTAAAAAAAGAAAGAAAGAAAGAAAAGAAACTCAGTGAGGCCTAGCATATGGGTCTAGTGTAATCACTGTGGTCCAAGTGATTGGTATCACACTCAGAATCCCCATCTTGAAATATCTGTGATCTAGGTCAGGTCCATCCTTTCTTTCTTTCTTTCATTTTTATTTAATTTTTTTTAATTTTTTTTTTTTTTGATAGGCAGAGTGGACAGTGAGAGAGAGAGACAGAGAGAAAGGTCTTCCTTTGCCGTTGGTTCACCCTCCAATGGCCGCCGCGGCCGGTGCACCACGCTGATCCGATGGCAGGAGCCAGGAGCCAGGTGCTTTTCCTGGTCTCCCATGGGGTGCAGGGCCCAAGCACCTGGGCCATCCTCCACTGCACTCCCTGGCCACAGCAGAGAGCTGGCCTGGAAGAGGGGCAACCGGGACAGAATCCGGCGCCCCAACCGGGACTAGAACCCGGTGTGCCAGCGCCGCAAGGCAGAGGATTAGCCTAGTGAGCCGCGGCGCCGGCCCTCTTTCTTTCTTTCTTTCTTTCTTTCTTTCTTTCTTTCTTTCTTTCTTTCTTTCTTTCTTTCTCTCTCTCTCTCTCTCTCTCTCTTTCTTTCTTTCTTTCTTTCCCTTCCTTCCTTCCTTCCTTCCTTCCTTCCTTCCTTCCTTCCTTCCTTCCTTCCTTCCTTCCTTCCTTTCTCTCTCTCTCTCTCTCTCTCTCTCTCTTTCTTTTTCTTTCTTTTCTTTTCTTTCTTTCTTTCTTTCTTCTTTCATATGTATTTTATGTATTTGAAGGACAGAGTTACACACTCACACGGAGAGGGAGAGGGAGAGGGAGAGGGACAGGGAGAGGGAGAGGGAGAGGGAGACTTTCCCATCCAGGAGCCAGGAGCTTCATCTGGGTCTCCCGGGGTCCAAGAACTTGGGCCATCTTCTGCTGCTTTTCCCAGGCCGTTAGCAGGGAGCTGGACAGGCAGTGGAGCAGCTGCGACATGAGCCTATATGGGATGCTGGTGCCACAGGCAGCGGATCTTATCCCCTGTGCCACAACAGCAGCCCTCCCCTGTCCTTTCTTAGTGTTTACTCTCTGTTGCTCAGCTTCTTCTGACGTGACTCATGGGAGAATTAATTCTATCCGGGAGATGAAATCCCATCCCCAAAACACAGAACTCCCCTTACTCTTTCAGGATCATACTCAAATTCATATCACATAGTAATTAATAACAGTACCATTGGGCTAGTGGAATTCCACATATTTCTCCATATAAAATCATATATTACAACATTGAGTTCATTGATAGTAGTGATATTCCCTGAAAATAGTTTAGTAATTCTGTTTTGACTTAAAGTTTTGATTTTTTTCAGCCACGTGAATTCTCTCAGTATATAGAAATGCATGTTGTAGTCGAAAAGAATTTGGTAAGTATATTACTTGTCTTATATCACTTAACATTTGCAATAAAGCTTTATGGAAGTAATTTGGAATGAATTTTTGACCGAGGAAAATTAATGCTAATTATGCCTTTGCTATGCTGTGATGCATTTTAAATTATTAAGTATCATTAATGAATTGGGGAATCACATTTCTATAAATGTTTATTTATTTTATAAATAATAATATAAATACAAATGTATGCTACCCTTCAATAGTTTTTAGATGGCCTTACAATCGTTATAAAAACTTATTATATGTACTTAATAAGTTTTAAGATTTTTAAAAACAATGCTTCCCACTATATTATTTAAAGAGAAAATAAGAGTTTCTCAATGATAAAATTTTCTGTTATACAGGAAAACAGTGGTTTATATTGGGGACAGAGGAGAAGGTTAGCATTTCCTGGTACTACAATTATATGACATGTAGAACTCATGAAATAGTCTTATTATTTTGACCCATAGTTTTTTTTCTGTAGCTTCTGGGCAAATTCCTAACTTTATCATTGAAAATACATGAAGTTTTCGTACCATATTTTGGAATTTCACAGTGTGCACATAGATACTCATATTCAGAGCTTCCTGTTTCATTGATGCAAAATCTTCTTTGACTCTGTGCTAATGATATTAAAATTTTATTTCAATATTTCAACTCTCTATTTCTGTTCTTAACAGCAGTATATGAGAGTCACAATCACTTTACTTCCTTGCTAGCACCTGTTTTTGTGTGTGTTCTTCTGAAAATGATTTGATGGTAAAGTGGTCTTTTGTCTGTCTGGGATCGATAGGTGAATTTCTAATTGTTCGGGCAGGGCCTAGAGTTCTGTGAAGCAGCTCCGAACAGAGTCTAGTATTAAGTTGTTACTGTAAAGGTCATCACTGAATTCTGGATCTTGTTACTCGGGGTCTTGGGTCACCAGCCTGACCCTTACACTATTCCTTTAATATAATGAGTTAATCTTTAATAAGGAGTCTCCCATCAGGGAAAGTTCCAGAACCAGATGGCTTTACAGTTGGATTCTACAAAACATTTAAAGAGGAAACTAACTCCAATATTTTTCGCACCATTCCAAAATACTGAATAGGATGGAACTCTGCCAAACACTTTTGACTAGGCCAGCATTACTCTCATCCACAACTGTAACAAATAAACAACACAAAAAGAAAACCACAGACCTATATTCTTGATGAACACAGATGCAAAAATTTTCAACAAAATACTAGCAAACTGAATCCAAAAAGATCATATATCAAGGTCAAGTGGGGTTTATCCCAGAGATGCAAGGGTGGCTCAACATTTGCAAATCAATAAATGTCATAAATCACATCAACAGAATGAAGAACAAAAACCATATGACCATCTCGAAAGGTGTTGAGAAAGCATTTTATAAGACATAACTTCCCTTCATGATAAAAATCCTCCACAAATTAGGTGTAGAAGGAACATTTCTCAAAATTGTAGGGACTATATATCACAAACCAACAGTCAATATTGTACTGACTGAGGAAAAGCTGCAAGCATTTCCCCTCAGATCTAGAAAAACAGAAGGGTGTCTACTTTCTCCACTCTTATTCACTATAGTATGGAAGTATTAGAAAAAATTGGGAGGAGAAAGAAATAAAGACATCAAAATTATAAAGGAGGAAATAAAAATATCCATGTTTGCAGATGACATGATGTTGTACATGGAAAAAACTAAACACTCCGCCAAAAAGCTGTTAAAACTGAAAAACCACTTCAGTAAAGTTGCAGGTTAAAAGTAAACATACAGAAACCGTAGCTTTTTTATATGCTAGTGATTAACTAGTTGGGAGAGAAATCAAGAAAGAAACCCCATTCACAATAACCACCAAAAAATCAGATATGTAGGAAAAATTTAATCAAACAAGTGAACGATCTCTACAATGAAATGTATAAAACATTGATGAAAAAAATCTTCAAGGACACAAAAAAATGGAGATGTATTCCTTGTTCATGGATTGGAAGAATTAATATCATTAAAATATCTGCACTGCCTAAAGCCATCTATGGATTCAATGCAATCCCTGACAAAATAACAGTGACAGTCTTCACAGAATTTTTTTTAAAAAATCATAAAATTTGTATGAAAGCAAAAAGACTCAGAATGGCCTAAATGCTCCAGAGCAAAAAAAAAAAAAAATTTACAAAGTTGTAGTAATTAAAACAGCATGGTAGGGGTCAGCACTGTGGCGTAGTAGGCTAAGCCTCCACCTGTGGTGCTGGCATCCCATATGGGCACTGGTTTGTGTCCCGGCTGCTCCTCTTTCAATTCAGTTCTCCGCTATGGCCTAGAATAGCAGTGAAAGATTGCCCAAGTTTTTGGGCCCCTGCACCCATATGGGAGACCTGGAAGAAACTCCTGGCTCCTGGCTTCAGATCAGCTCAGTTCCAGGCATTGTGGCCATTTGGGGAGTGAGCTAGCAGATGGAAGACCTTTCTCTCTCTCCTTCTCTTCGTAACTCTACCTCTCAAAAATAAATAAAATCTTAAAAAAAAAATCAGCATGGTACTAGCATGAAAAACTGATATATGGATAATTAGAATACAGAAGAAATCCCAGAAATTAATCTACCTATAGACAGCTAATTGACTTTGACAAAACTGCCCAGACCATACATTAGAGAAAGGATAGTCTTTTAGTAAATGATGCTAGCAAAACTGGATGCATGTATGTGGAAGAATGACATTAGATCCCTACCTCTCACTGTGTACAAAAGTCAACTCAAGATGGATCAAAGATCTAAATTTAAGACCTGAGACTATGAAGTTGCTGAGAAACAATGTAGGGGAAATACTCCAAGATATTGGTATTGATGATGACTTCTGGGATAAGACCCTCAAAACACAGGCAACAAAAGCAAAACTTGACAAATGGGATTATATCAAACTCAGAAGTTTCTGCACATCAAAGGCAACAATCAATAGAATGAAGAAACATCCAAAAGATGGGAAAAAATATTTGCAAGATATCTATGTGACACATGATTGATATCTAAGATATATCAGTGGGGCCGGCGCTGTGGCATAGCAGGTAAAGCTGCCACCTGCAGGGCTGGCATCCCATATGGGCACCGGTTCAAGTCCCAGCCGCTCTACTTCCAATCTAACTCTCTGCTATGGCCTGGGAAAGCAGTGGAAGATGGCTCAAGTCCTTGGGCCCCTGCACCCACATGGGAGACCTGGAGGATGCTCCTGGCTCCTGGTTTTGGATCAGTGCAGCTCCAGCCGTTGTGGCCATCTGGGGAGTGAACCAGCAAATGGAAGATATCTCTCTCTCTCTCTCTCTCTCTCTCTCTGCCTCTCTGTAACTCTGCCTTTCAAATAAAACAAATAAATCTTTAAAAAATAAAATAAAATATATCAGTAACTCAAAACCTCAACAGCAACAACAACCACCAATCCAGTTAGGAAACTGGTAAAGGACCTCAATAGACAGTACTGAAAATAAGAAACACAAATGACCAACAAATATATGAACAACTACACAACATTACTAGCCATCAGGGAAATGCAAATCAAAACCACAATGAAGTATCAACTCACCCCTGTCAGAATGGCTATTATCCAAAAGATAGAGTAACAAACACTGGCGAGGATGTGGTAAGAATATAAATTAGTACAGCCACTGTGGAAAACAGTCTGGAGATTTCTTTAAACACTAGAAATAGACTTAGCATCCAGCAATCACAGTACTGGGTATAAACCCAAAAGAATGAACAGATGGTATTAAAGGGGTGCTTGGACCACCATGTTTATAGTAGCACTTTTCACAATAGCCAAAATATGGAATCAACCAATTTGTCCATCATCAGATGAATGGATAAAGAAAAAGTAGTATGTATCTACAAGGGAATATTACTCAGCCAAAAAAAATGAAATTCTAGTGGCCAGTGCTGTGGCATAGTGGGTAAAGCCGTTGCCTGCATTGTGGGCATCCCATATAGGTGCCGGTTCAAGTTCTGGCCGCTCCTCTTCCAATCCAACTCTCTGCTGTGGCATGGGAGAGTGGTAGAAGATGGCCCAAGTCCCAGGGCCCCTGCACCTGCGTGGGAGACCTGGAAGAAGCTCCTGGCTCCTGGCTTCAGATCGTCTCAGCTCTGGGGAGTGAAGCAGCTGTTGGAAGACCTCTCTATCTCTCTCCGCCTCTGCCTCTATGTAACTCTGCCTTTCAAATAAATAAATCTTTAAAAAGTGAAATTCTATTGTTTGCATGAAAATGGTTACAACTAGAAGACAAGATGTTGAGTGAAATAAGCCAGACACAGAAAGACAAATTCTGCATGTTCTTCCTTATATGTGGGAGCTAAAATTTAAAAAATAAAATAAAAAGAAAAGAAAAAAGTACCTGTGTGTATCAGTTTTGAGTAAATATTGTGTTTTGTCAAACTTCATTTTGAATCTGTTTTGGGCAAATTGTCAGGATTAAATACTGCTGTATTTTCTATTTTTATTTGATTTTATATCTATATCCTATATTCAGGCTAATATCATTTATTAGCTTTAATAGCTTTTAGTGGATCTCTTGGGATTTTCTACATGCGAATCTGTTTGTTGACAAAGAATTTAATTTACTTTGTTTACTGAATGGATTCATAATATCTTTTTTCCTTGAGTAAATGCTTTGACTAGAACCAGAAAGGCAGAATTGATGCAATGAGAACATCTTGTCATTATCTAACTCCTGAGAAAAGGGAAAAATGTTTGTCCTTTTGCTATTAAGAAGGAGTTGCCAGTGTGTTTTTCATAGATGCCCTTTATCAGGCTGAGGAAGTTATTCATTATCCCTGGTTCATTGAATGCTTTGTCATGGATAGGTGTTATATTTCGGCAGGTGCTTTTTCTGTTCCTATTGGCAGGATTAGGTGGCTTTGGTACTTTGCGACATGTTGTATTGTATTAATTGGTTTCCAGATGTTAAGGCAGCTTTGTATTCCTGGGGCAAATCTCACTTAGTCAGGATGTATAGCCTTCTTTTATATGTCACATAATTTGGATTATTAGTATTTTGCAGAGTTTTTAGCACTTATATTAATGAGACATAACATGTTGGAATTCTATTTTATTTTGATGTCTTTTCTAACTCTTCATTGAATTAGTTAGAAACTGTGTCATGCTGTTTTCTAGAAAAATTTTGAAAATTTTTCTGAAAAATATGAAGAATCGGTGTTATTCTTTACATGTTTGCTAGAACTGACCAATCATATAATATTTCTTTGTGAGGATTTTCTAAATTACAACCTCAATCTAGTTTCAAAAATTGCTTCATCTACTTGAAAGTGAGAGAGAGAAATAAAGTGAGAGGGGGAGGGGAAGGGAAGGAGAGAGCAAGATATCTTTCATCCATTGGTTCATTCCCCAAATGTCCACAACAGCCAGGGCTGCACCAGGCTGAAGCCCAGAGCCTGGAGCTCCGTCTGGGTCTCCCATGTGGGTAGCCAGGACCCAAGCACTTAGGTCATCATCGTGTGCCTCCGGGGTACATTCAACATGAAGCTGAATCCTCCCGTTTTTCCTATTTTTATGTCTTTTTACTGTGGCAAAATATAAAGAACGAAGTTTACTATTTTAACCATTTGTAATAAATCTGTTTGCATGAAGTGCAGTCACATCATTGTACAAACATCGCTACCATCCACCTAGACAACTTTTTCATCTTCCCAAATGGAGACTCCATCCCCATTAAATAATAATTCCCTTTCCCTCACCATCCCACTTCCTAGGGAGACAGCCATTCTACTTTCTCTACCTATGAAGTTGACTGCTCTAACTATCTCATATAAGTGTAATCAATCAATATAGTATTTTGTGTACATGTGACTATTTTGTTTTTCTTAGCACTAAGTTCTCAAGTTTTATCTGCGTTGTAGCAGACGTCTGAATTTTCTTTTTTGGGTCAAATGCTTCATTGTATGGATATAATAACATTCTGTTTATCCATCCATTCATCGATAATCAATAGACACTTTTTTTTAACACTTTTTGGCTGTTATCATACAAATATGTCTTTGGTCCTTGTGTGTTGTTCTTTTGCATCTATGCCCAGAAGTGGGAAAACTAGGTTATATGGCAATTCTATTTCTAATTTTTTGAAAGGAATTACCATACTGTTTTCCACAGTGGTTAGACCATTTTTCATTCCTACCAGCTGTGCACAAAGGTTCCCGTTTCTCTACATCCCTACCAACACTAGCTGTTTTTCTCACGGTCTTTGAGAACACTGCATAGTACATTTAGAATCCTGCCCTGCCTGGCACTATGTCAGAAAGCGCCTGGCCCTAGTTCTGAGCAGGCGCCCAGGGCCACAGTGGAACCCACCCACCCGGTCCGCCCCAAGGACTGTTCTGCTTGTAGTTGAAGAGAAAGGAAGCCGCCTTCTTTGGGTTTAATTTGCTCTTTCACACCAGTTGTCTGAAGGGTCAGATTAGGTTAATGACTTCGGATGCTTCTTGTTTTTAAAATATTTTTACTTCCTGTTATAAATTTCCCACTCTACCTGAGTGACATTATTTGTATCACATTGTGTTTTGATTAATTGTACTTCCTAAGGCCTCCTATGATTCATTCTTTGGTTGCTGGTTGTTTATAATTAGCTCTCCAATTCCACATATGTGGAATTTCCTAAAGTGTTCTTGGGTGTTGATTGTAGCTTAATTCCACTGTGGTCAGAAGGCATACTTTGTAATTTTTTTAAAAGATTTTATTTATTTATTTGAGAGGTAGAATTACAGACAGTGTGAGAAAGAGAGAGAGAGAAAGGTTCACTCCCCAAATGGCCGCAACAGCCAGAATTGTGCTGATCCAAAGCCTGGAGCCAGGAGCTTCCTCCTGGTCTCCCATGCGGGTGAGGGCCCAAGCACTTGGGCCATCCTCCATTGCCTTCCTGGGCCACAGCAGAGAGCTGGACTGGAAGAGGAGCAACCAGGACTAGAACTCGGTGCCCATATGGGATGCCAGTGCCACAGGCAGAGAATTAACCTAGTGCGCCACAGTACCAGCCCCTAATTTGTACTTTTAAAAATGATTTTAACTGGGGTTTAGTGTTGTGGTGTAGTGAGTAAAACTGCCACCTGCGACACCAGCGTCCTGTAAGGGTGCCAGTTTGTGTCCTGGTTGTTCCACCTCCCATCCAGCTCTTTGCTAATGGCCTGGGAAAAGCAGTGGAAGATGGCCCATGTGGTTCACCCATGTGGGATGGATACCCAGTTGAAACTCCTGGCTCCTGACCTGCTTCTGAGGCCATCTGGGGAGTGAACCAGCAGATGGACAGAAGATCTCTCTCTCTCTGTCCCTCCTTCTCTAACTTTCAAAATAAATAAATACATATTTAAAAAGTGATTTGAACTGGATTTAAGCTTATCCTATGACCTACTTTATGCTGTATTTCTGGGTCATGTTCCATGGTCGTTTGCCTATCATTCTGTTTGGTTGTTAAATATCCAGTAGATATCTATTGGCTTAAAGTTTTGTTTTAGTCTTTAATATCTGTGTTGATTTTTTGGTCCAAGTACTCTATTATTGAAAATTGTATATATAAATCTCTAACTTACTAAGTTTTCTATTTGTCCCTTCAATTCTGTCCTTTTTCCTTTGTGAAACGTTTGGCTCTGTTCTTAGATACACGTGTCATTATAATTGTCACATCTTCCTCACAGACCTCTCAGTTCTCTTATTGTTGTTGTTAGTGTACTATATCTTTCCCATCATTTTATTTCGAAGAAATTTGTATCTTTGAATAGTATGGTCCCTGCAATTTATTCTTCTTGTCTGCTACATCAAGTCTGACAATCCCTGACATTTACTCGGATTATTTAATCCATTCTTATTTAACTCATTGCTTATATGTTTGTATTTATGTCTGCCATTTTGATTTGTTCTATGCTTTATGAACAAATTATTTTGTTCCTCTTCTTTGTCACACATGGAAATTTTCTAGTTCCTTATTTTTTAACTTAACTTTTATTTGAAGACAATTTATATTTATATGCAACTGTGAGAGTAGGAAGAAACCCTGCATACCCTTTAAAAAAAAGATTTGTTTATTTATTTGAAAGTCAGAGTTACACAGAGAGAGATGGAGAGGCAAAGAGGTCTTCCATTCACTGGTTCACTCCCCAATCGATTGCAACAGCGGAGCTGTGCTGATCCGAAGCCAGGAGCCAGGAGCTTCCTCCAGGTTTTCCCATGTGGGTGCAGGGGCACAAGGACATGGGCCATCTTCTACTGCTTTCCCAGGCCATACAGAGAGTTAGATCGGAAGTGGAGCAGCCAGGACCCGAACTGGCACCCATATGGGATGCTGGCACTGCAGGTGGCGGCTTTACCTGTTGTGCCACAGTGCAGGCCCCCCTGCATAGAGGCTTTAAACAAATTTCTCCAAGTCGCAATTCCCTAAAATACTACAGTACAATGTGATAGCCAGAAGACGGACATCGACAGTCAAGACCCAGAATCATTCCTTCACATTTGAGATCTATTGTGTTGCTTTGTAAAGCCACACCCACTTCCTCCTCAGTCCCCTTTCCCTGATCTCTGAAAACCACTATTCTGCTCTCCATTTGCATTTTTCTCATGTCCACCTTGTTACATAAATGGAGACACTTATATGCAGCATTTGGCGATCATCTGTTTTCACATAGTCATTCTAGACATTATTCAGCCTTAATTATTTGTTAAACAAAATTAAAGCAAATCCACCTGCCAACTTCTCTTGCTTCCAGAGAAACTGATGTAGTTGATTGGAGTATTTTAGGTTTTCAAGGTGATTGATATTGCTTCACTGGTTCTTGATTCACATCTCCTGTTATGCTAATCATGTATCGTCTGTCCTCTTTTTCAACATCCAAATTTTATCTTTGCAATTCACATGTAAGCACACATGTAAGCACACATGCACACACTTCTTACGAACCTTTATCCTTCAGTTATACAATTACTTGATTGTGGAATTATATCTTGATTTTAGTCTTTAATTTTTATATTTTCCATTTGTAATAGTGAATATCATATTTGTGTTGTAATAATAAAACGGTGTTTAAGAACTAAACTGCTAGAAATTTAAGCATTTCTTACTTGTTATATTACATTTTAAATACAATAACAATCATTAAATGTTAATGTTTATTTAGTTCTGAAAGGCAATTGTATTTTACAGTATAAACACATGGGTTCTGATACGGCTGTCGTCAGTCAAAAAATTTTCCAGTTGATTGGATTGACAAATGCTGTAAGTGTTTGCTTTTGTAGTACCTTTTTACTTGGTTGTGGTTCTGGAATAATTTCTGTACCTCATTTTCTTAAAAAAAAAAAAAAAACAATTATTTTATTTGATAAAGCACTTCTTTTTTTCTTTTTTTTAAAATATTTATTTATTTATTTGAAAGTCAGAGTTACACAGAGAGAGGAGAGGCAGAGAGAGAGAGAGAGAGAGAGAGGTCTTCCATCCCCTGGTTCACTTCCCAATTGGCTGCAACAGCTGGAGCTACACCAATCTGAAACCAGGAACCAGGAGCTTTCTCTGGGTCTCCCATGCAGGTACAGGAGCCCAAGGACTTGGGCCATCCTCTACTGCTTTCCCAGGCCATAGCAGAGAGCTGGATTGGACGTGGAGCAGCTGGAACTAGAATCAGCACCGATATTGGGTGCTGGCGCTTCAGGCCAGGGCGTTAACCTGCTGCACCACATCACCAGCCCCACAGAGCACTTCCATCTACTGGTTTACTCCCAGAATGTCTTCAACAGCCAGGAACTAAATCCAGGTCTCCCATACGGGTGGACCCAATGGCTGGAGCCATCACCTGCTTTTCCCAGGGTGCACATTTGCAGGAAGCTGGGTTGGAAGCAGAGGCGGGACTCTGGATTGCAACCCTCCCATATGGGGTGCAGGCATCCCAGGCAGCACCTAGCCAGTGTGCCGAGTGCCTGCCCTGATCTTTCATGGATGCTCCGTCAATCACATGTTGGGTAATCTAGGGAAAACTGTTTCATTGTAAGTTTCAGTTTTCTTACCTGGAAATACAAATAATAATTATATACCCGTAGTTAAGTTATTTTAGGGATTCAATTAAATAAAGGATTTGCCATATAGCTGATTATGTACCAGCATTCAAAAATATTATATATTGCTTATACAGCTAGCAGCATTTATTACTTATTAATATACTTTAAAATACCCAATCCAAATTTACAGTTTAGTTAATATTTGTATAAATTCATTTTCATAGGTATATTATCAAATCTACTTAAAACCATGTTTGAACATTATTTTCTGTATGTGGTCTATTTTAGGTTTTCACTTCATTTAATATTACAATAATTCTATCTTCATTGGAGCTTTGGATAGATGAAAATAAAATTTCAACCACTGGAGATGCTAATGAATTACTATACAGATTTTTAAAATGGAAAAAATCTTATCTTGTTTTGCGTCCGCACGACGTGGCATTTTTACTTGTGTAAGCATAACTTGGCTCTCTTTCTCTCCGTCTCCTGATCTCTCTCTCTCTCTCTCTCTCTCTCACGCTCTCCTTCTCCCTCTTTTCCTTCTTCACCCCTTCCCTCCAGTCTGTCGGGTTTCCCCCAACACTTTGCCTTAAAAAAAGAAAGCGTAACTTGGAATTACTAAAGCTTATACAGAGAGCACATTCCAATCTGACCCAATGTCTGACAGCTAACAGGCATCTAGGGGGGAAAATGGCATTTTTTCTGACATACATCACGTGAATATTATTTTTCAAAACATCATTTATATCATTATTTATTGGCTTGTAGTTAAAGCTCACCCCTTCAATCTTATTGCTGTATGGCTTCTCTTCTTAGAGGATACACAACTCATTATATGTCCCTAACTATGCTTAAACATTGACAACATCTATTTGAGGAAGCCTATCTGAATTGTATGAATAGAGGAATTTAGCCTTCTTACTATGCTATTTATCATAAAACTTAAAAAAAAGAAATGGAAATTGTTTATTTTGATACCTCTAACATGATTTGGCCACACCATGCTGAAATTTTCAGTATGTAAGCTTACCCCTTTTAATAGGCTCTTTGTTTTTTCTTTTACTAATATTCAGAACTTATACATTCTACATGATAAAAATATTCATATATATAACTTAAATTTTAAAAAACATTTTTTGAGATAACATTTTTGAGATAGGATGTAAACTTGCATTATAATCAAAGAATATTGGCTCCATTAAATAAAAAATTCAACAAAGGAAAAGTGAAAAAAACCACAGTTCGGAAGGAAAATAGGCAAGGACCGTGCCCGACCATCTTAGGAAAAGATGGCTAACTTCTTTCCTATCAAGTAAGTTTTAAAATAGTCACAAAATCATTAAAACTACAGTAACATGTAGTTCCTGCATTTTTGCTGGAATATTTATTCAAAACCAAGTTTGACAACACACTGTATTTGCAGCAAAACTGGTACATTCAGGTATTTTTTTAAACTCCCACAACTTTTGGATTTTTTATGATTTGTATCCTCTGTCCCACACGCTTGCCCTTTCTTGCACAGCTTTGGCAGGCTGACTCTGGCTAGGGGGAACTTGAATCCACAACATTGGCTGCACTGCCTGAGCTTCCTGACTTCCAGGGGTTTTATTTATTTATATCATTTTTATCTGTGGGGCTTTACTCATTTTAGTTTTTGAAAAACTACATAAAACACCATATAAAATGAATCTCTGTTATGTTACAGAAGTCAAGATAAAAATCTACTGTCTATTATTTGTTTCTTACATTTCTTTTTATTATTTTCAAAAGAAGTGGGAACATTTAGTTACAACCTATGCTATGTTACACTAATACTAGGTGGAAATAGCTGTGAATTTAATAAGAACCAAACCAAAATCTGTTATGAAAATTCAGTACTGATTGTACTTTGTTTTATAAAATTGTATGATTCTGATCTGCTATTAAATTTCAGTTACAGAGAAATAGCAAAATATGTCGGTGCCACCTTCCAAGGGAAGATGTGTGATATCAACTATAGTGGTGGTGTTGCTCTGGTATGGTATGTTTTAGTTTACTTGACTAAAATGTGTAGCTAGAATGCATACAGTTAAATATGTCCTTATTTTATTGTATTAATAGATTTTAAAATCTGCATTATGTTAGGAACCTTTGTCTCTGCTACTTACAGAAGTGTTTCCTTTTTTTTTTTTTTTTTTTTTTAAGATTTATTTGAAAGTCATGGTTGCAGAGGCAGAAGCAGAAAGAAAGGTCTTCCATCCACTGGTTCTCTCCCCAGATGGCTGCAATGGCTGGAGCTGGGCCGATCAGAAGCCAGGAGGCAGAAGCAGCTTCTTGGTTTCCCATGTGGGTGCAGGGTTCTAAGGACTTGGGCCATCTTCTGCTACTTTCCCAGGCACATTAGCAGGGAGCTGAATTGGAAGCAGAGCAACCGAGACTTGAACCAGCACCCATATGGGATGCTGACACTGCAAGCGGCAGATTTAACTGCTACGCCACAGCAATGGCCCTATACTGGCAGAAATGTTTAAACCCTAAGAAATCCTCACTGAGCTCAATATATATAAGATTTTACAATTCAACTTAGCCGTTTTAGGAAGTTATTAAGGTAGTGATTGATGTTTATCTTATTGGTCAAAACTCATCAATTTGTCATAGTCTAAACATTTAGTCATTTACTTATTTTAATTTAAAGTTTATATTTTATATAATAATTATGTACCTAACATAATTATGAACCAGGTTAAAATAAAACATTTGAAACCATACATTAAGTGCCTTAAGATGCTTTGTAGGATATAGGTGGAGAATACCAGAGTTAAATGTCCTTATTGACATTATTGACTTTAGCAGAAAATCTTACTGTATTTAAAACTAGTATGTTTTTGTTACAAGTAGTGACATATATATTATACTTCTGTATTATATACATATTATATATATTAACTTGTATATTACAAGTAGTGACTTGTAATGCTGTGATTATTCTGGCAAATAGAACTTGCTTTTTTTTTGCATAATTTGTGTGTGTGTACAGTACCTGCTGGTGTTTCAGAGAGGTAATACATGGTAAGCCTATTTCAATGAACAATGAACAAGTAAAGCCAAGCAAAGATATAAGGGGGATGAATCAATCGAATGAAGCAAAAATTTACCTTTAAAATTCATCAAGTCATCACTTGGGAAATGTGGCTTGTATCTGTGGGCAAGTGACTTACCTAGTCTCAAAAGGCAGAATTTGGTTGACTTAAACAATAACGAGCAACACTAAGAAACCGCAAGATTCTCACATGGAGTGTGACCTCCCCTGTTTACCAATCTTACGGTTTCTTAGTGTTTCTCATAAATTTTTGCTCCACAAAACCACCCCTCGCTGAAAGTTGGAATGTGAAACCACAGCCCAAGCAGTTTTAATTGAATAGAAGCAAGGTCTCATATGATTGACATATGATTTTTAAATTTTAAAATATTTAAATGAATGATAAAAATTGGATCTGCTCGAGGTATATACCAAAATGATTTTATATTATATAATATATATATAGTGTAATGATTACCACAATCTAATTAAGACATCTCATTTGTGTGTGTGTGTGTGTGTGTGTGTGGTGAGAGCACTTAAAATCTGTTCTCTTGTCCAAATTCAAATAAGCAGTACAGTATGATCAACTATAGTCATTATAGCATACATTAAATCACCAGAACTTACTCATCTTACAACTGAAGAGTTGTGCCTCTCAACCAATATTTCCCTGATCTCTCAGCACCGGCCACCATAGTTCTACACTTAGCTTGTCTGAGTTTAGCTGTTTAGACTCTACAAATAAGCGAGATCCCACAGTATTTGTCCTTCTGTATTTGGCTTATTTAATTTAGCATAGCAAATGATTTTTGATGTCTGCACCTCTTCGCCCTGAGGCTCATCCACTCAAGTCTCCTTAAACTCACGAGGAACAACACATTAAGGCTGGGTCTTAATGATTTTAATGCATCACGTATTTATCTGTTGACCTCATCTACTTGGATATACGTTCATGAATGGAACTCTTTAGGCTAAGTAGTAAACATCCTCAAGAAAATTTCTCCAAAATAAAACATACTAAGTGACCCATCTACTTTAAGCAGAAGTATTAGTAGTTATAAAGCAGAAATTTCAAACAAAATAAAGTGTATGCTAACATAGAAAAAGACTGGTTGGAAACAGGCATGGAAATTATAATGATCATGCTGAATTTTCAAATACAGGATTGATACATTAATGTATAAATTATGGAATAGGAAAATCAGAATTAAGACCTCTCCCAGAAGACAGCAGAAAAGATTATGGGAAAGACAAAAGAAAAATTAAAAGAAATACATGATTGAAATAGAAATGGCAATGCAATGTCTAGGTATTAGAAGTAATGGAAATAAATATTTAAATGCCCAAGAAAATTGCTAAAAAAAAAAAAAAAAAAAAAAAAAAGATAAATTTCACAGCATGACTTACCCAGACACTAACTCCAGCCGCCACCAGGTGAGCAAAGTGCTTATGCTAGGAAGCCCCTAGTGGAGTTTCACCTGGCCACCCAAGTGCTTCAGCATGTGAGGGGAGCTCAGAAGGGTGCGTAGAAAGTCAAAAAGAAGAGCTAAAGCTGCCATGAAACAATGAAATGAAAGTATCTCGTACAAAGAAAACTTGCTATGTTTCCAGGAAGGAAAAAGTAGGATAAGGAAGAAGTTTCTTAGCCAGAAAAGTCAGATTGGATACAAAAAGACTTTATCGTTCATATATAAAAGAAAAGTACTGTGAAGTTATAATTCATGTCTTCAAAAATTTAATTTGAATATGATACAATAAAAATATTTTCCAGCATATGAGATCTCATAAGCTTTGTCAAATACATTACTCACATTGAGAACACATTTATAGAAATCCCTTAAATCCATGAAAATCTATAAAGATTATACAAAGAAGAATGAATAAATTAATTTTGTCTTGATATGAAAAGTAGCTGGAACTAGATTAGGGGGAGGGAAGATAGATCAATATCAAACAAGAACTCGTATTCTGTGCTGATATGGAGAGAATTATGGGGGAGAGCGAAATGTCATGAAACAGGCCATGGGAATTGTCTTCTTAAGAAAAAAGTGATGCTCTTGGCAACCTCTAGAAAGATGTTGAAGCAAATGATAAGTATTGTATCCAACCCTGAAATCCTGTCGTAACCTTTCTTTATTAATGCATGCCTAGTCTCTCAAATGCTCTTTCAATTTCTTTTAACTTCTTATGGGTTCTCTCATTAATTAATGAGTAGAATAAACTGCAGAACGAAGAAGCACCTATTAAAATCTGACTCCTGAAATGAGAGACTAAAAGTTTTTCCAAAACTTAGACACATTTATAAAAATGTAATTACAAAATATAAAATGTAACTATAAAATCTAAAAATATAATGACAAAGGTAATCATGTGTTATACACCTTTATAAAAAGTAATCATTTGTTTCCTCAACAAATACCTACTTGTTTGTCACCTTCTGGTGTTTGGCACACAGGGAGCCTTGATAAATGCTACCTGCTCTATTTGACAGCTATTTTCTTCATCATGTGTAGTGCTCCAGAAGAAATTTGTCTTCTGTGCTATAATTCTTGCCATGACATAATTTTTTCACAACAATCCAGTGTTGGATGGCATTTGATGCAGTAGTTAAGAAAGACAGTCCTTTGGTGGCCTGCGTCCCATATATCAGAGCGCCTGGATTCAAGTCTTGGCTCTGCTTCTGTTCCAGATTCCCACCAATGTAAACCCTGGCAGGCAACTGTGATGGTTCAAGTCCTTGAGCCCCTGCCACCCACATGGGAAACCGGGATGGAGTTCTGGGCTCCTGGCTTCACACTGGCTAGGTGCCATTTTGGGGACTGAACCAACAGATGGGAGATAGTTCTCTCTCTCCCTCCCTGTCTCTCTTGAATATGAAAATAAAGATATTTTAAAGTCTTGGCTCTTACTAAAATTTAATTAAAAATCCAGTGTGAAATATAATTCTGCTTTTGGCTCACTTTTCAAGATTACTTCAAAAAGTTCATAAAAATTAGAATTAAAAGTTTTCTTTATTTTTTTTTGAAAGGCAGGGAGAGAGAGAGAGAGAGAGAGAGAGAGAGAGAAATCTCCCATCTGCTGCTTCATGCTTCATTTCCCAAATTCCTACAACAGCTGGGTCTGTGCCAGGTTAGAGACAGGAGCCAGGAACTCCATCTGGATGTCTCATGTAGATGACAGGGTCTCAGCTACTTCACCCATCACCAGCTGTCTCCCAGAATCTGCGTTAACAGGAACTAGAATCAGGAGGAGAGCCAGGACTCAAACCTATGTACTCCAAATATAGGCTGTGGTTATTCCAAGCAACATTTTTAATCACTACACAAAATGCTCACTCCATAAAAAGTTTGATAAGTTTATTTTGGTCCAAAGCGTTCTTGAAATGCGTGCATTGTTTTTTTAACACCCATTTTCCATGAACTTTTTAAGAGCCTTCATATTTTCACAGCAGACCGTAATAACAATATCTTGTAGGAAATTCTCATATTCCAGCCCAAATCTTTTTCAAACTCAACTGCTATGGAGAGAACCAGGACTCAAACTCATGCACTTCAGTATAGGATGTGGTGTCACAGGCAGCCATGGACAGAATTGTCTCCCCCAAGACACTGGAGACAGCACTTTCCATGTGCACACAGAAAAAAGTTATGGGAGCAGCACATAAAATAGGTAGTCTTCTACAATTTAGAAAGGAACCACCTCACCAGAAACCAACCTTTCTGACGTCTCCACTTTGGACTTACAGAACTGTGAGAAGATAAATTTCTGTTCCTTAAGCCACTAGTCTTTGGGGTCTTATATATAGGCAGCCCAAGATGGCAAATAGAAATGCAAAGCGAGACTGTCACAAATAGAATGTAGAGAAATGGTATCTCAGATATAAAACTGTTTTTTGATCCTATCATGCAATGAAAGGAAGGATCAGAACACATGTAAGTTCTAGTAAGAAGATAGGAAATATAGGAGAAAATGCACTTGAGGGGAAAAATATCTGCTTTTACACAAATGCCTGAAATGAAACTTATTGGATGCTTTATTTCCATCTTGCTAAGCTATAGATAGTAACAGGAAACAGGAGAGAGAGAGAGAGAGAGAGAGAGAGAGAGAGAGAGAGAGAGAGAGGAAAATGAACATGGTACACTGATTGGGGTGGGCATTGTGGTGCAGCAGGTTAAGTTGCCACTTGGGATGCCCATATCAGAGTACCTGCTTTGAGTCCCAGCTACTTTGCTTCAGATTCAGCTTCCTGCCTGTGTGCACACTGGGAAGTAGTAGGTGATGGCTCAAATACTTGGGTCACTATCACCCATGTGGCATTCTGGGCTCCTGGCCTTGGCCTTGCCTAGTCCAGGCTGTCAGAGGAATTTGGGCAGAGGATCTCTCTGTCTCTGTCTGTCTGTCTGTCTGTCTCTCTCTCTCTCTGCCTTTAAATTCAATGAAAATAGAAAAACCATCTAAACATTTTCTATAATAATATCACTTTCACAAAAAGAAATGATATAGGTATTTTAGTTTTGAAAAATGTAGTTCAAACAACTGTAGAAAGTCAGCATTTATTTATTTATTTATTTGAAAGGCAGAGTTACACAGAGAGAGATCAGTCTTCCATCCACTGGTTCACTCCCCAAATGGCTGCAATGGCCAGGCTGAAGCAGGAACCAGGAGCTTCCTCCAGGTTTTCCATATGGGTGCCAAGGTCCAAGCACTTGATCCATCTTCTGCTCTTCTCTCAGGTCCGTTAGCAGGCAGCTGGATTGGAAGTGGAGCAACCAGGACTTGAACTGGTACCCATAAGGGATGCCAGCATTGCAGGTGGCAGCTTTACCAGCTATGCCACAGAGCCAGCCATAGCATTCTTTTCTTTTTTAAAAAATTTAAATATTTATTTTGAAAGAGTTACAGAGAGAGGAAGAGAGATCTCCATCCACTGGCTCATTCCCCAGGTGGCCAAAATGGCCAGGGCTGGACCAAGCTGAAGCCAGGAGCTAGGAGCTTCTTCCAGTTTTTTCATGTGGATGCAAGGGCCCAGGCACTTGGACCATCTTCCACTGCTTTCCTAAGCCATGAGCAGGGAGCTGGATCAGAAGTGGAGCAGCTGGGACAAGAGCTGGAGCCCATACGGGATGCCAGTGTCATATACAACACTACCCACTACACCCCACCACTAACCCTGAAGTCGGCATTCTTATTATCAGACAATTATTACCATAATGTAAATAAATTCAGTGGGCTAATGTATGAATTTAAAAACCGTTTATTCATACAGACCTTGGCTATAGCAGTAAAGATACCACTTGTGAGCCTGTACCTGGGTTCAAGTCTCAACCCTGCTCCCAGTTCAACTGTTGTTATATATACATATTGTTAACAAGTTACTAGCACAACTTTTTGTTGGTGTGAAGCTACTAAATGAGTCATCCATTTATATTTTAGTAAAATTTCATTTTCTTTTTTAAAAAATTTTATTTAAGTTATACAAGTTTCATGTATTTTGTACATACAGTTTTAGGGTCATAGTTGATACTTCCTTCCCTCCCACCCATGCTTCAACCCTTCTTCCTGCCCCCTCTCCGATTCCCACTCTTAATTTTTACAGAGATCTACCTTCAGTTTGCTTAATGATCATAAGGTTAACCCTATACTAAGTAAAAGAGTTCAACACATAGTATGAAGAAAACAACACTGTTCCTCAACAGAAGAGACAAGGGCTGTAAACAATCATCAAATCTCAATATGTCCATTTCACTCTAATACATTACATTTTAGGTACTCTACTGGATGCCCCAGATCAGGGAAAGCATATAATATCTGTCTCGTTGGGAATGGCTTATTGCATCCATATTTTTGGATTTTTTAACAGCTGAGTGCTACTCCATAGTGTATGTATGCCGTAATTTATTTATCCAGTTTTCAGTTGCTGGACATCTGGGTTGATTCCATATCTTAGCTATTGTGAATTGACTGCAATGGACATGGGGGCACAGATAACTACCATACGATCCGGCCATCCTACTCCTGGGAATTTAAAACTTGAGTTTCTATTTTTCTTGTATTTGTAATAATACCTATAACAAATTAAGTTAGGTAACATAGATGACATTTCTGTGGATAACAGATGCCTCTATTCCATTTTATTATATACCATTTTATTAATTACTTTGTTCTCCCAGTAAATAAAATGCCTCCCATAATGTGTGCACGTCCATTTGTTTTGTTTCAGCATCCTAAAACCATAAGTCTGGAATCACTTGCAATTATTTTAGCTCAGTTACTGAGCCTTAGTATGGGGATAGCCTATGATGACATTAACAAGTGCAAGTGCCCAGGATCTGTCTGCATAATGAACCCAGAAGCAATGTAAGATGCTTGATTTTTATACTTATGCAGTTTATATTGAGATAATTTTGGTATATTTATTTTAAGAAAGTTTCAGCTGTTAAATAATGGCCAAATATCTATTACAACTGATGACCTCAGACCAAAATCTAAATTCCAGTGACCATGCTTCATTTCTATGTAAATATCGCTTGTTATCAAATGTCACGCCTGGAGTAGATGTGGCCTCGCATGTAAGATGCCTGCACCCACATCAGAGTACCTAGCTTCGACTCCCACTCCCACTTCTGACTCCAACTTTCCACCAGTGAAGACTCTGGGAGGCAGCAGTGTTGGTCCAAGGAAGTGAGCTCCTACCACCAACATGGGAGGTCTAGATTGTGTTCCTGTCTTCTGGCTTCAGCCCCAGCCCGGCTCTGGCCATTTCATGTCTTTGGGGAGTGAATCAGCAGATGGGAGTGCTCTGTTTCTCTCTCTCTTTCCCTCCCTCTCAAATTAAAAAAAAAAAAAAAAAAAAGAAGTCACATTCGCTCTCTCATATGGAAACTACATCTACCACTGAAATCTGTGTGTGAATATATATATATATACACATATGATATAATACTTTTTAAAAATATTTATTTATTTATTTGAAAGAATTACACAGAGAGGAGAGGTAGAGAGAGAGAGAGAGAGAGAGAGAGAGAGAGAGAGAGGGCTTCCATCTGTTGGTTCACTCCCCAATTGGCTGCAACAGCCGGAGCTATGCTGATCCAAAGCCAGGAGCCAGGAGCTTCTTCTGGGTCTCCCACGTGGGTGCAGGGGCCCCAGGACTTGGGCCATCTTCTACTGCTTTCCCAGGCCACAGCAGAGAGCTGGATTGGAAGAGGAGCAGCCAGGACTAGAACCGGTGTCCATATGGGATGCTGGTGCTTCAGGCCAGGGCGTTAACCCACTGCACCACAGCACTGGCCCTATGATATAATACTTTTAACAAGGAAATGTAACCTGTAAGTACAGAACCCAAACTGGTACTCATTTGATTTGATTGTCCAGAATCCACATTCTAAAATACCATGCTATCTTTTGTGGTGGCCAGGGTTTGGGGGAGAGGCATTAAGAGTTTAGGGAATTTAAAGTTAAGGCATCTAGGAGATGAGTCCACAAAGAAACACAAAGTAAAAGATCAGATATTAGATTCTGGAGTCAGATGATAAGTTTGAATTTGAGATACAGACATCTGAGCTGTCAGATGTGATATTTAAAACTTGAGAGCTGAATAAAATTGTCTATGAATAAATAAAGAAAGAAAGGAAAAGCCTGGTCCCTTTTATTAATATAGGGGTATTCCAACATTTAGAAGTGATAACAGGAAAAGGAAGGACCAAATGAAGCCCTTTTAAGGGAGGGGCTAACACGAGAGCAGTGTCATGAATAAGCACAGTGTAAGAGTTAATGACTGGTACTGCGTAGTTATGCCTATGAAATATTCAATATAAACGCTTGCAAGGTGGACTTTCTGTGCCCATGGAATGAACATCTTGACAGTGGGGAAACTGAGCAGTAGTTTTGTTATGGATTGCAACTACATAGTTTTATTCTGAACATAGGCCATTTATGGAAATACATATATAAAAATTGAAGTTTGATGTGTTTTTAGTCACTCCAGCGGCGTGAAGATCTTTAGTAACTGCAGCATCGAAGATTTTTCACGTTTTATTTCAAAGCAGAAGTCCCAGTGTCTTCAAAATCTGCCACGCTTAGAGCCATTTTACAAGCAGGATGCCGTTTGTGGTAACTCAATAGTGGAAGCAGGAGAAATGTGTGACTGTGGGACAGCAGAGGTTCGTGCTAATTTGAAGGAATATTTGCCACAATTGCATCAGAAATTGTTAGTCTTTGTCGTGTTGTACTTTCCTTGCTTTTCATTTGTCAAATTCACTTTCCTGTGAGGGATATAGGTATCACAACAAACCAATTGCCATTCTATATTGTACAGACTCCGTGATTTGTAAATTACAAGTAATTTGATTTTTCACTCCAGCTTTATTGTATGTATTTATTGTGTACAACTTGATGAATTAATGAATGTATATGTTGCTCAATATTTGCCACCATCAGGGTAAGTAACATATCTGTAAACTCAGTGCCTTCTTTCTAAATTTTCTTGGTGAGAACACTTCGTATCTTGGCAAATTTCAAGAATACACCAAGTATCATTAACTCTAGTGACATTATTGTACCAGGTCTCCAGAACTTCTTCATCCTGCACAACTTGCATAATTCCCACTTAGTGCTCTGAGTGGTCACGCTCCCATTTCTTCCTCCTTCCTGGACCCGATAACGAACGACCTTCTACCCTGTCATATGGGTAGACTTCAAGGTCATTAATCCTATAACTGAGTTGGCCAAGGTTTGCTCTCTTCCACTTAGTGTTTTGCTTCATGGTATTTCTTTTTAACTTAAAAATCTTCTGGCAGTCAGAAAAATAGATGAAAAGCTTTCACTGTGCCCCAAGAAAATATAGGAAACACACTTTAATTCGGGTCAGTATTTAAGTCAGAAATATTTGGAACATATGCAATGAAGCTTGTTTTTGCAAACAGCAGAAATTTTAAATAAAGCTGATGTACCAAAGGAATCTGAGTGAATAGAGATGAAGGTAATGAAATGAGAAATGGAGTGGGGGGGGGGCACTCGCAGTGGGTGCTGGAGGCCAGGAGAATCAAGATGTGAGCAGAGTTCAATCAGTCAATATTTTCTACTGCAGGGGCAAGGTCACAGGTGACTACCCTCCTGATTTAAAAGTGGGTTCTTAGATCGTAATAGGTGATAAATTTTTAAGAAATTCCCCACCATCTTGCTTGCTTTGTCTTGAATACAAACAGCATCTAAATCTCTACTAAATTTTGACAGTAGTGTGTCTTGTCTTAGCTCCATTAAATGTCATCTAATTGAACACTAAACCACTGTGATACAACTTTCTCCTCTAAGATTCCATATAGTTAGCAGTAGCAATGAATTTTACTCGGTGAAATAGCTGTGAAAAGTACTGAAAATTTAGTATTTCCTAGTGAATGTCTTGCTGGAACTCATATTGAGACTACTAAAATTCATGATTTATTTTTATGCAAATTAGTGACATTTTCCCCCAACTAATCCTACCTTAAATCTTGGGAATGAAGAAAAGCATGTGTGTCTGAACGCACTATCTATCCAGGCTTCTCCCTCCTTCCCTATCATAGTTCTATGACTATGATCACAGAACTTTTTAAAGCACCTTCACCTGACATAGAAGAATTATAGTATAAAATGGGGCAAAATAAAATATGAGCAAGTGATGTAAAGATGATCATTTCAATCTCCTTCAGAAATAATATCATATCTAGCCCTTCAGTAGAGAATTAAAGAAGCCTACAATATCCCATAAAATGTTGAGGTTTATAGTAGATTCAGAAGGATCAAGAAAGAGCAAGTCACTGCAATGAAATATTTAAAACATCATTTCTGTCTATTCCACATCATGTATTTAAGCATTTATTTGTCTGCAAGAACCAGAAATCTTCTCAATGTCTTAGCAATATTGAATTCCAGGGCTTCAGGGAATCCTATTACTGACACAGCCAGATCTCTAGGAATAGAGAAAACACTTCAAGAAGTGTCACTTGGAAGGCAGTCAGTTAATGTATGGTAAGTATGTAAGTGGCTCTGTTTTTCTGTTTGCTAGCACGTGAGTTAGGCATCTATAATTAATATGTTTCCATCTGTGAAATGCCTACCCAACACCTCTAAGAGTTGGCAGGTCCTTCAGGGAATTTCATTTACTTTTCAGGAGTGTGGCCGTGCAGTACCAATATGCTGTAATTCCGCCACGTGCAGGCTAGAAGTAGGTTCACAGTGTGCAGAAGGCGAGTGCTGTGAAAATTGCACTGTAAGTGCTTTTTAAAGCCTTTCTGTTGTCTGCAGCAGAAAAATTATGATTCTTTATGATGCTTATATGTTCACATCCTGCTTTATTCAATACCATCTGCCTCCCCTCACCAGTTTAAGGAAAGAGGACAATCGTGTAGGCCTCCTGTGGGCGAATGTGATCTCTTTGAATATTGCAATGGAACATCCGCCTTATGTCCGGACGACATCGTTATTCAGAATGGGCATCCATGTGGTGAAAATCAATGGATCTGTGTTGATGGATCATGCATTAGTCCACCTGAACAATGTAAAAGTATATTTGGTGAAGGTATTTATTACCAGTTGATTTCACATCCATGCGTTTTTCTTGAAGCTGGAAATAAATTGATAACGATATAAAATCGTGCTATACATTTAGTATACATATTTTAAAGAATTATAGAAAAAAAAAAAAGAGAGGACTCTTGTAAGGGAAAAAAATGCAAGTAGTTTGGAATTTTTATTCTGAATTGTTTCCACAAAGTAATGGAGGAGGAGGCTCAAATGTCTCTGGCACTCCCGAATGCCAGCAGTAAAAGCAACTTAATATATTCAAGATGATGACTACAAGCCACCTGGTTCCCAGGGCTGTTTGCAGATCCTTGAAGTTGAAGATCAGACTTGCCTTAGGCAGAGAACCTCTCCAGAAAAGATACAGCAGAGACTTGTTAATCGTTGGGATTATAAGGGGAGGCTGTCAAAAAACACGGTACACTTTTTGCATTGAGCACTTTTAGAGCTCAAAAGTCTGATTAATCAGGTCAAATACAGTGAAAAGGCCTTGGAAGTTTCCCTGCAGTCAAAGGCAATGTAAAAGAATGCTGCCTCCTAATCTTTTAAAAAACTTTGGCTCAGTTTTGAAGTGCCTGTGGTAATAGGCAAGGAAGCTATTCCTTTATATTGCTAAAATAGTCTATTGTGTGGATGAACAACTGTTACTTATTTTCTAAAACGTTGTGCTCAGAATTTGTCAATTATGAAAAAAGACACTAAAACCTTTGCACACAAGTTTGCCTGTGCACGTATTTTAAAATTTCCTTTTGTAAACATTTTAGGAATGGGGATGGTTGGGTGGGATGTTCAATATATGTTTAGCCAGATAAACTGCCCAACTGTTCTTCAAAGTGACCATACCATTTGCATTGATGATAATAATAGAGGTCCATTGTTTGTGAGCTATAGCTCCTGATAATATCAGTCTTAAATTAAAATGAACTATAGGGTTTTAAAAGATTTTTGTGCATTCTGAAAGGTTATGTGGCATGATTTCACTGTGGGATCATTTCTGCTGCTCTGACTGCGATGGTCTTGACTATCTGGTTACACTTTAATTGCCTAGCTGCAGGTGTTGGTTAGAAGAGCATCTACTCAAATCCTTTGTCCCATTTTCACTGTTGTTTGTTTCATTATTTAAGAGATGTTCAAATATTCCAGCTGAAAATATTTTCTCAGATATGGAATTTATAAATGTTTTCTCCCAGTCTGTACTTATATTTTTAATTCTGTTCACCTAAAATTTGAAGAATAGAGGTTCTTTAGCTCAAATGCAATTTATCAGATATTGTCCTATGTAGATCATGCTTTCAGTATCATAGACAGAAAATCTTTGCCTAAACACAATCATAAGAATTTCATCTGATTTTTGTCTTTTAACTGTTGTATAGCTTTGGGTTTCACTTGTAGGCTACTGATTCATTTAGAGTTAGTTTTCTCTAGGGACCAAGATAATGATCCAGGTTTTTTTTGGTAATTTTTAAGCATATTTTCATTTAGTTTTCCACAAATGCTTATATCTTTTCCATCACAACACTGTATAATTGCCTGTGTAGTTTAGTAGAAAATAAATGTGTGTGAGTCTATTTCATAGGACTCCCCTTTCTATCACATTTCTGTTATCCTTTCTCCAATACTACTTTCCCTTTGAAGTACAAGTTTGCTTTATTTCAAAATTGTTTTGGTTATTCTAGTCCATCTAAATTTCCATCTAAATGATAAAGTCAGTTTATTAAGGTCTTCAACAAATGCTCCTGTAGCTGGCATCTGGCATAGTGGTTAAGATGTCACTTGGGTTGCTCACATCCCATGTTGGAGTGCCTGGCTTAGAGCCTCAGCTCCACTTTCAGTACCCACTTCCTGCTTGTGTGCACCCTGGCTTGCAACAGATGATGGTTAAAGTACTTGGGTCCCTGCCAGCCATGTTGGAGGCTTGACTGAGTTCTGAACTCTTGGCTTTCAGCCTGCCTCAGCCCCAGCTATTGTAGGCATTTGGGAAGTGAACAAGTTCATGGTAAAAACTCTCTTTTTCTCTCTCCCTTCTTTCAAATAAAAAGAAAATAAAGGTTTTAAATAAATAAATTAAAATCCTCCTGAGATTTTATTGGAATTGCCTGCAAGGATAGATCAATTTTAGAACTGACAACTGATAACAATGTTGAGTGTTCCGGTTATTGAACCCTATGTGTCTCTCCACCTGTTTATGTCTTCCACATTTATCTGAATTTCATATATATATATGTGTGTGTGTATGTGTGTGTGTGTGCCTTGCATATAATTTTTAAGACTTACACTAAGTATCTTTCTTACTGGTGTCATGGAAAATAGATGATTTCTATTGGTGTGTGATTTTTAAAATTTTCTGCTAGTAACCTGAAACCTTGCTAAATTCATTTACTGGATCTTAGAATTTTTTCTTGAATGTATTTCAGGATTTTCTACATAGACAATCCTGTCATACACAAAGAGACAGTTTTGTGTCTTCCTTTCCAAACTCAATTCTTTCTAGTTCTTTGCCATCATTGTAATATTTTCTATTTCCAATATGATGTTGAATTGGAATGAAGAGAGTAGACATTGTTGTTCTGTGTGTGTAGTGAGAAAGCATTGTCTTTCACCATAAATTTTATATTAGTTTGAGGCTTGCTTTGCTTGTTTTTAGGTTTTTGTTCCAGTGGAAGATTTTATCCCAAATTGAGGATGAAATCTGTTAGAATTTTTCTATATGTATATAGATTATCATATTTTTACTTAGTCCATTAATGTGGTGAGTTACACCAATAGATTTTTGACTGTTCAACTTTTTATTATCATTCCTTTTACATTTTATAGGGTTCTATTTACTGATTTTTTTTCCAAGGATCATTGCCCCTATGTTCACAAGAAACACAGTCTGTAGATTTATTTCTTGAATGTCTTTTCTGATTTAAGTGTATGGCTGGTCTCAAAAAAGACGTCTTGGAAATGCCTCTCCTCTACGATAACCCATAAACATGCATGTAGCCCTGAAATGATCTCTTCCTGGGATGTTTGGTAAAAGTTGCCTGTGAAGGTGGATGGCTCCGGAGTTGTCTGTTGGGAAGTTGCAGACAGCGGCTGGCACTGTGGTATAGTAGTCTGAGGCTCCGCCTGCAGCCCCAGCACCCCATAGGAGCACCAGTTCAAGTCCCGGATGTAGAGTTTCCACTGCAGTTTTCTCTCTCACTCTCCCCTGAGACTACACTTCCTCCACATTTTTTTTTCTTTTGCTATTTTCCCCTAGCTGAGAGCAGTACATCTTCCCCCTATTCTGCCATCTTGGAATCCTCTATTTGATGTTGAGCTGAGTTTTTGCACAAGTTTGGACCTTTCTAGGAATTTGTCCTCCATTTCACCTAAATTGTCAAATCTGTTGCAGTTTTTTTTTTAGTACCAATGATGATTATTTTGATGTTGTAAGATATGTAGTATTTGTGGTGAATAAACCCACCTGAGACCACCTTTCCACAAAACAATGGGCTCAGACACACGAGGAATGCAAGAAGCAAGGCTCTGTCCATGACCTTGCAGGGTGGGTGTCTGGTGGCAGACACCCCTGAGACAGGAACCAAGCACTCTGCTACCTTCCAGGGCTCAGGTCCCTTCCCTCAGTTCCTCATTGGCTGAGTACTTTGGAAGTCACAATCCTCTTGATGTTGCCTGAGACTGGGCAGGTGATTTGGTGCCCAGACCAGTTGCTGGGCAAGCAGGAAGGGGATGAGGATTGCTTGGGACTGTGGCACAGGCCTTGTATGAGAATATCTGTTACAGTCCCGCTGTGTTTTAAAACTACAGGACTATAAGCTGGAGGTCTATGTTATGACCGGACTCAGGCTGGTCATGCTGTTTGAAAAAAACCATAAGCATTTTCTTACAATAATCTCTCCTCTTTTCCAATCCTTGTAGTTATAATATGTGTCTTTCATTTTATCTTGTTAGTCTGACTAAAGATTTTTACACTGAATTATTTTTTTTCAAAAATCCAGTTTTTTTATTTCATCAATTTTCTTATTGTTTTTCTGTTCTTGTTTTTACTAATGTCTACTCTTACATTCATTATTTCATTTTTTCTTTATTTCTCAAGCAGTGAGCTGGATGGAAAGTAGAGCAGCCAGGACTCAAACAGGTGCTCATATGTGATGCTGAAGGCAGCAGCTAACCCACTCTGCCACAGAATTTTATTGTTTAAGGTTCAAGCATTTGGGAATTTTTTGATGTATCTTTCTGTGATCAATAACCTTGATTTTGTTATGGTCTAAATATATTGATTAATACAGTATTTTTAAATTTGTTGAGGTGTATTTTATGTCCTGAAAGACAAACTTTCTGAATGTTTTCTATACACTTGAAAAGGGTATATGTGTTGCCATTGTTACTTTTAGTGTTCCATAAAATAAATGTCATTTAGATCAAGTTGGCTAATAATTTATTCAGGTATTTTAAGAAAAGCCATGTTGAAAACACCAACTATAATTGTAGATTGGTATGTTTTCAGTGTTGTCAAATGGTTTCCATCTTCTCTGAAGAAAAATCTGCCACACTTATCTCCTGTTCCTTCCATTAGGAACTCCTCTTTCTTTAACTTCTGTCCATTGTCATATGATATGCTCCCTGGTATATGTGTGTGCACATAGTATTCTCTGAGTTTCTTGGAACTGTGGCTTAAATATATTACTGCACAGATTTTTAAAAATTCAAATATATATTTATATTTAATTATCTCTCCATAAATATTTGAATTCTTTAATGCCTTTCCTTCTTGCAGATTTATATCATATGGAATCTGGTTTATTCTATGTTTACCATGATACTCTTCATTATTTTAACATAGCTATATGCTTGTTTGTGTCTTATTTGTTCTTACATGATATTTTAGATGGAGACATATTTCTAGTTCAAAATTGTTCTGCTGTTTTTCGTTTTTAGCTGTTACCTTTGAAAAGTCCTGTCTTTAGTCTAAATGTTCTTCTTGTATAGATACTGCCATCAAAGTTTTTCTTCTGCTAGTCATTAGAAATGAGAAACTAATCATCTCAGTTAGGTCCAAAACTGACATTTGTTGAGGGTTGGTTGAAGTTTAGGTAAGGTTCAGCTCACCCTTGTTTCTAGGGCATAATTCTCCAGGGCTTTCTGGACAGCTCAATGCATCTACTCACTGAGACTCCTCGTCCTGGCAGGTGGATAGCCCTAACACAGAAACGGCTGGCCAGTGCGGGGGCTCACTAGGCTAATCCTCCGCCTGCGGTGCCGGCACCCCGGGTTCTAGTCCCGGTTGGGGTGCCGGATTCTGTCCCGGTTGCCCCTCTTCCAGGCCAGCTCTCTGCTGTGGCCCGGGAGGGCAGTGGAGGATGGCCCAAGTGCTTGGGCCCTGCACCCACATGGGAGACCAGGAAGAAGTACCCGGCTCCTGGCTTCGGATCGGCGTAGTGCGCCAGCCGTGGCAGCCATTTGCGGGGGTGGACCAACGGAAAAGGAAGGCCTTTCTCTCTGTCTCTCTCTCACTGTCTAACTCTGCCTATAAAAAAATAAAAGAAAGAAAGAAAGAAATGGCAAGACAAAGCAGTGCTACCTCGTGGAAGTCATCGTCTTAGATTTGCCTCTCCTTCCCTGCACATTATAGTCTTATTTTGTTCAAAATATTTTAAAACATCCCAGTTTTTTAATGTAGGTGTTAATCATTTTAATGTAAATTAATACACATTTAATAGGACTAATTGTACTGTTTTTCAGAAGTAGAAGGTGGCACTCCAGAATGTTATGAAGAACTGAATGCTATGGCTGATATATCTGGGAACTGTGGCATAACTCATGACGGGTACAAAAAGTGTGAATCTGGGTATGCTCCAACAAATCTATCTGAGAACCTCTGTTTATTAAAGCCTTCCATTTGAAAGTAGCACCAGCCAATAAATCTTATATGAAAGCAAAATAGCACCTGCTGTAAAGGGGTCATGGATGGATAAGCATTTTTCTTTCTTGTATACCCAAATTATGCTTTGTATTTTCCCCCTACCAAGTGTTTAATTTACATTTAGAAACATTACTCACCATTAATCCATTTTTTCAAAAAAATTTTAGATGCTATCACCTTAATTTTATCCAGGATGATGATGTATAGAGGGTTGAAGTGTGAACAAATGCTACAGTCAGACTTCTGTTTTCAAAGCCCAACTCCAGTGTTGAGCTGTTTGTGTGGCATCAGGCATATACTTCAGTTTCTCATACATGAACTATGAGTATCGCTGACATCACTGGAGTGATACAGATCCTGGATGAAAAACATGTAGACTGGTGTGACTGACACAGGGTGTGCACTATGTGAGGGTCAACTATTAGCTATTCTCATAGTAGATGAAGTAGAACTAGAGGGTTCCTTAACCCCACTCACTTCTTAAAAATTTTATTTTGATATTATTTCAAAAGTAAAAGTAAAAATTCTGTAAAAGTTTCTAGTTTGTCTGAGCAGCACAAAGAATCACCATTTACCTTTTGTCCTGATTCACCAATTATTTCCATTTTGCCTATTTGCTTTAACCCTTTTTCTAACTCTTCTTCCCTGTCCTCTCTTCATAATTATTCTTCTGACCCATATGAGTATAAATTGGAGACTATGCTTTTTTACCCCTGAATAAATCAGTGCATCTTTCTTTAGGATAAATATATTTTCTTGCATAAATGTATTCTAGCTATCCAGCATGGTTCATACTGAAACCTCACTGATTGTCTCAATGAAGTATTTATAGATATTTTCCCTTGCTCAGGAACAAATCTGTAGTCACCTACTTGCATGTACTCATACTTTGTTTTTACAGTTTTTTAGTCTGGAACTTTTCATTTGCATTTTTTAGATCTTTTCTTTAAAAATGCTACGGTTAATTATTTTGTAGAATTTCCTGAAAAGTTGCATTTTTTTGATAGTTATCATAATTATATTCAGGTTATACATTTTGCCCATTCAACACTGAAGTGATGTTGTGTCCTCCACTGCAGTTTTCACAAAGACACATATCATTTTATTTCCATATTGGAAATTTTAATTACATATTTTGGTAAGCTTCTTTTTCATTAAGTTTCTCAACTGTATAGTTAATATTTTTCCTCACATATTTAATGTGTAATTTTATGGGGCATTATAAGATGGTGGGAATATTCTGTTTCTCTTTAAATTTTTGCCTACTTGTTCTAAAACCTATTGATGATTTTCTAATTCCGTTATCTGCCTTTGCTTTATTAGCGAGGACCGTGTTATGGGAAAAAGTATTCCTTTCCTTGTATTTGTTTTATTTACTTGGCCATACATTCTTTCAATTAGAAGAACCTAGGTTACATTTTCCTTAATCCAGGATTCATGATGACAAATTTTTAAAATCATTGTCCTGTTGCCTGATTTGGGGGAAAATTTCTTCTGCATGTAGAGTGGGAAGCTTGCCCACATTGACCTTTGATATCTGTCATTCAACAGTCTACTGTTTTGTTTTGTTATTTTTACTGTTGGAAAGTTAATCCTCCAGTGTATTAGGGCTTTTTGGTTGGTAATGTTTCTTTATTTTCTAGTTACTTTTATGATTTTTCTCTGTGGCTTACAGCACTACCATTATGAAGTATGCTAATGGTTTTATTTTAGTACTGATTGTCTCAGTATCTTTCAGTATCTCTTCTGTTGGAGATCCATAATGCTAAACTGAAAAGGGAATACAGGAAGCCTGATACTTAAACAAATTTACCAATTTTTTAAGGTTGGATTTCAGGATGTTTGAGTATCAAATGAGTGTGAAGGATTCACAAGCAAAGTAAGCAGGCTAACTAGGAAGTAGCTCATAATTATTACAATGTTCATTTCTCAGTAGCAATTCAGATAAGCCCCTCCTGTTTTTTGAAGTCCCAAAATTAATTACATATATTCTTTTGCAAATATTGGCTCTGTAAAAATATATAAGCTTTATATATGATATTCTAATATTTCCATATATTAAAATTAATGATTTTCATTTATGGAAAAATTATAGTAATCGGAAGTGTGGAAAATTAATGTGTAAACATACAACTGAGAATATAATTGACATTAAAAATGCTACTATTATATATGCCAACGTAAGTGGATCAATCTGCCTTTCCCTGGAATATAAACCAGATCATCTAGATGCTGCAAAGATGTGGGTACCAAATGGAGCTGTGTGTGGTAGCAATAAGGTAGGTTGGTCAATAGTATTTTCTTACCAAATAATTTTCTAATATTTTATACTCTTTTATTGAATGCTACATATTTTGTGTTTGCCATCATAAATTAAGTGTATTTTCATTGAAGAAAATTTGGAATATCAGAAAAATTTTTTAAAAATAAAATATAATCTGGACACAGTGATAGAATATATTGTTATCAGCAATTCATTGGCTATTTTGTGTTTTTAATGTAAATTGTGTATATTGATGGGATTGAGAGTCACAGTGTTCAGGATATTTCATTAAATTATGAATTATCTTTGGATACATTATATTGTTATAGTAAGATCTTACCATTGTAGTGATGAAAATAATCATGATTTCATAGAGTGAAACAAACACCCATCCACATCACATACCTGAAATATAATTATACTTGCCATTTTCAGTAACTACTTATGTCCATACTTAGGTGGGGTTCTTTAAAAGTTCACGGAAAATGCATATTACCAAAAAAATGCATGGATTTTAGTATTTCTCTGTACCAAAAGAAACTTATCTTTCAATTCCATATTCCATAAAATTTTTGAAGCACCCTTGTATAAGTTAAATCTAATTATTCTTTCACATCTTCATTGCATATCATTATGAATATACACATATTTAAAATAGTTTACCTAATAGTTAAGGAAATACTTTTTACACAATTTGAATGTCTTCTTCAGTCTAGCTTTACTAATATTCATTTAGAAAATAAAGAAGTAGAAAAAGTGTACAAAATGAAAACATTACCCCAAATTGTCACACAAAACACAGTTATTTTTAAAGCTTTGTAATATATTTGCTTTCATGAAATTTACTTTGAAGAATATTTTCCAAATTAATGCCCCAGACTGTCTTTAATTTTAAATTATCCATTATTTCTCAACAGCCTAACATAGGCTATATCATTGAAGAACAGCACAGTAAAAAAGAATTAGCAAGAGTGGCTCAAACAGCTAGCACTTTATTTGTCCCGCTAATGGAAAGTGAGTTTGGAGGTTGCCCATCCAATATAGTTATGTGGCTCCACTATTGTCATCAGTCTGGTTTTCAGCTATGTATCCTATACTGTGTTCCTCCTCCTGTACTTTCAAGGTGATTAACTGAAGCTCTGGCTAGCCCCACATTGCAGGATGGGTGGTAGGAAAGAGCTAATAAAAAAGAATGTGCCATCTTTGTTCACCATGGTTGGTGAGGGGTAAAAGAGTGTTCGTGACCAAAGAGGTGTCCCGCCAAGTTGACACCTATTTAAGCAGCTTTAAAACGCTCTTGTTAAAGATTTAAGTACCAATGCATATTGATGCTGGAGAAGTTTCTGCTCCACAGCAGGGAGAGAGGAGGGCTAGGTAGACATCTTGGGGAGGTTACACAAGTAGTAGCCCCGAAACTTTGCCTTCATGTGTATATCTCTGTCTATTCACTAACAGTGATCAAGCTAGCTGCATGTTGAATATTCTAATGATTTCTATGAATTCTACACATTAGAGTGTCACCATTTTTAAAATACTTCTAAGAGTAAGAGTGAACATATCATTATAAGAAATTCCAAAATTATTTTTGTCAACAAAGAGCAAGTAAGAGTGGCTGCTATAAATATAGTTTCAATTCTCAGGTATTGGTGACTAAATATCTATATCTATATCTATATCTATATCTACATATATACCTAACCACTACCACTCCTTGTACCAAGTTATTCCTAGAAGGAATCCAACAAAGGATTTGAAGAAATCTGTATTTTAAAGTCTTGATCCAGAAATCCAAGTAGAAATCATAAGCAGCTTCATCTGGGTCTCCCCAATGGGTGGCTGGGGCCCAAGCATTTGGGTCATCCTCAGGTGCCTTCCTAGGCATATTAACAGGGAGCCAGATCAGAAGCGTAGAAGCCAGGACTTGAACCGGCACCCATATGGGATGCCAGGATCACAGGCAGTGGCTCAACTGGTTGCACCACAGCTCCAAAGAAGAAAATTTTATGCTAATATTTCTAGTTATATGTTCTTTGGTTTACCATCAGTGGCTTGGCGCTTCTCCAGAGGTGCATTAAGCATATTGGAAATTGAAGCATAGCATCATTTGATATGATAGGCTGAAAGAGGCCTCTGAAAACATTGGAATACTTGTGAGTATCAAGCTTGGCTTCCACCATCTCAGTTAACTGTGTCACCACCAATGGAGTGAAACAAGCCAGAATCCTTAATGTCATTGACCTAACTCTTTTCATCCTCCATTTATAATCCAAAGTGATCCAGCCCAGGCTGTTTTAAACTTTTTAACTGTGTCTCAAATACATCTACTGATCTGTGTCTCCACCGCCACTCAATTTCACTCGATGGTTACCATTTTTGTGGGCTACCATAATGGCATTCTAATATTCTATCTCCAATTTCTTTTTGCCCTTTCCATTCTTTTTTTTTGTTTTTTGTTTTTTGTTTTTTTTTAGATTTATTTTATTTATTTGAAAGACAGAGTTACAGAGAGTGGTAGAGACAGAGAGAGAGGTCTTCCATCCGCTGGTTCACTCCCCAGATGGCCGCAATGGCCAGAGCTGTGCCAATCTGAAGCCAAGAGCCAGGAGCTTCTTCCAGGTCTCCCACATGGGTATAGGGGCCCAAGGACTTGGGCCATCTTCTACTGCTATCCCAGGCCATAGCAGAGAGCTGGATTGGAAGAGGAGCAGCTGGGACTAGAACCGGTGCCCATATGGGATGCCGGCGCTTCAGGCCAGGGCTTTAACCCGCTGTGCCACAGCGCCGGCCCCTCCATTCTCTTTTTCTGAAACAAGCTTTTATCACATTTCCTTCTCTCCAAGTAAATTTCTTAAGTCTAGCAAACTGCTTGTAGGTTGAAGGTCAGCTCCCTTGGTAGAGACTGTAAGATTCTCTGCAATCCCACTCTAATAGTCAGCTTTTATAACTGCAACTAAAATCCTTCAGAGAGATAAGTTAACTTATAAAGAAATAAGGTTTATTTGGGCTCATGGTTTTGGAGGTTCACGGTCTAAGTTTGGGCAGCCACTGTAGCCTGGCATCTGATGCCAGTGAAAGCTGGTGATGGCGGAGTACCTGTCGAGCAAGGGCCACATGGACAGCCAGAATATTTGTCCTCCTTGTCCATGTGTCTCTCTATACGATGCTGCCATGACTCAATCATGGGCTATACCCCAGCTACTTAATCCAATCTAATTGTTTTCAAATTGTGCCACCTTCAGACACCATAACTGAATCAAGCCTCCACCCTTAATTCATCAACCACTTACATCAATCAATTAGCTATTACCATAAAATGTTGGGGGCTTAGTCTCCAACAAAAGGCCTTCTCTCACATTATATCTAACATGTTTATTTGTTTTTTTTTTAACTTTTATTTAATGAATATAAATTTACAAAGTACAGCTTATGGATTACAATGGCTTTTCCCCCATAACGTCCCTCCCACCCGCAACCCTCCCCTTTCCCACTCCCTCTCCCTTTCCATTCACATCATGATTCATTTTTAATTCTCTTTATATACAGAAGATCAGTTTAGCATACATTAAGTAAAGATTTCAACAGTTTGCTCCCATACAGAAACACAAAGTGAAAAATACTGTTTGAGTACTAGTTATAGCATTAAATCTCAATGTACAGCACACTAAGGACAAAGATCCTACATGAGGAGTAAGTGCACAGTGACTCCTGTTGTTGACTTAACAAATTGACACTCTTGTTTATGGCCTCAGTAATCACCCTAGGCTCTTGTCATAAGCTGCCAAGGCTATGGAAGCCCCCTGAGTTCACCGACTCTGATCATATTTAGACAAGGCCATGGTCAAAGTGGAAGTTCTCTCCTCCCTTCAGAGAAAGGTACCTCCTTCTTTGATGACCCGTTCTTTCCACTGGGCTCTCACTTGCGGAGATCTTTCATTTAGCTTTTTTTTTTTTTTCCCCAGAGTGTCTTGGCTTTCCATGCCTGAAATACTCTCATGAGCTTTTCAGCCGGATCCGCATGCCTTAAGGGCTGATTCTGAGGCCAGAGTGCTGTTTAGGACATCTGCCATTCTATGGGTCTGCTGTGTATCTCACTTCCCATGTTGGATCATTCTCTCCCTTTTTTTTTTTTTTTTATCTTTTTTACTGCAACCTAAACAGGTGAGATTTGAGTTGCTTGCTGGTATCTTCCTGGGGCCAAACACACTATAAGACCTAAGTATTTATTTCATGAATGATAGATTGGCTATTCTTTTTTTTTTTTTTTTTTTTTTGACAGGCAGAGTGGACAGTGAGAGAGAGAGAGAAAGGTCTTCCTTTTGCCGTTGGTTCACCCTCCAATGGCCACCGCGGCCGGCGTGCTGCGGCTGGCACATCGCGCTGATCCGAAGCCAGGAGCCAGGTGCTTTTCCTGGTCTCCCATGCAGGTGCAGGGCCCAAGGACTTGGGCCATCCTCCACTGCACTCCCTGGCCACAGCAGAGAGCTGGCCTGGAAGAGGGACAACCGGGACAGAATCCAGCGCCCTGACCGGGACTAGAACCGGGTGTGCCAGCACCGCAAGGTGGAGGATTAGCCTATTGAGCCACGGCACCGGCCAGATTGGCTATTCTCTTTCTGATGTCCACACTACCCTTTATATCTTCTTAGTTTCCCAACTGTCTTCCTCTGGAGGATCATTTTAAATATCACATTTTTGTCTCTCTGGGTCTGGTTTATTTTACTTAGTATAATGATCTCCAATTCCATCCATTTTTTTTCCCAAATGTCAGGAGTTCATTCTTTTTTTATGCCTGAGTAGTATTCCATTGTGTATACATATTACATTGTGTATAGATACCACAATCATCAGTTGGTGGACATCTACATTGACTCCATATCTGTGCTACTGTGAATTGAGCTGCTATAAACATGGGAGTGCACTGGCCTCAGAATCAGCCCTTAAAGCATTCGGATCTGGCTGATGAGCCCATGAGAGTATTTTAGGCATGGAAAGCCAAGACACGCTGGCAAAACAAACAAACAAACAAACAAACCTAAATGAAAGATCTCTGCGAGTGAGATCCCAGTGGAAAGAAAGGGCCATAAAAGAAGGAGGTACCTTTCTCTGAAGGGAGGAGAGAACTTCCACTTTGACCATGACCTAGTCTAAATAAGATTGAAGTCAGCGAACTCAAAAGGCTTCCATAGCCTTGGCAACTCGCGACTAGAGCCTAGGGATTACTGACGCCATAAACAAGAGTGTCAAATTGTTAAGTCAACAACAGGAGACACTGTGCACTTATTCCCCATGTAGGATCTCTGTCCTTAATGTGTTGTACTATGTGAATTAATGCTATAACTAGTACTCAAACAGTGCTTTACACTTTGTGTTTCTGTGTGGGTGCAAACTGTTGAAATCTTTACTTAATATATGCTAAATTGATCTTCTGTATATAAAGAGAATTAAAAATGAATCTTGATGTGATTGGAATGGGAGAGGGAGCAGGAGATGGGAGGGATGCAGGTGGGAGGGAAGTTATGGGGGGGAAGCCATTGTAATCCATAAGCTGTACTTTGGAAATTTATATTTATTAAATAAAAATTTAAAAAATAAACATGGGAGTGCAGATATCTCTTTCGTATGCTGATTTCATTTCCTTTGGCTACATTCCCAGGAGTGGGAAAGCTGGGTCAGATGGTAGGTCTTTTTAAATTTTCTGAGGAATTTCCATACTGGACATTTTCTCTTATTTGTAGAAGTTAATATATATATAGAGAAAAAATTGTGTGGATGTCATCATTGGGTATTTAGTTACAAATAGTGCTTCACTGAGTTGTACCACGTGACAATATACTTTATTTTCTCCACTTTACCATTGTTGCCATGAATCTTTCACTCTGTTATTAAATATCTCTGTTTAGAAGAAAATAGTATATGTATTAAATAATGCTTATATTTGAAGTGAATGTTACAAAATGCCTTTTTAAAAAAATACGTTTATTGGGGCTGATGCTGGGGCGCAGCGGGTTAACACCCTGGCCTGAAGCACCAGCATCCCATATGGACGCCGGATCAAGACCCGGCTGCTCCACTTCCCATCCAGCTCTCTGCTATGGCCTGGGATAGCAGTAGAAGATGGCCCAAGTCCTTGGTCCCCTGCACCCATGTGGGAGACCCAGGATAGCAGTAGAAGATGGCCTAGGTCCTTGGGCCCTTGCATCCGCATGGTAGACCTGGAAGAAGCTTCTGGCTCCTGGCTTCGGATCAGCTCAGCTCTGGCTGTTGGGGTTATTTGGGGAGTGAACCAGTGGATGGAAGACCTCTCTCTCTCTTTCTCTCTCTCTCTCTCTAACTCTCCTCTCTCTGTGTAACTCTGACTTTCAAATAAGTAAATAGATCTTTAAAAATGTTTATTTATTTGAAAGGCATAGGTACAGAGAGAGAGGGGGAGAGACAGAGAGAGAGAGATCTATCTTCCATCAGTTGTTCAATTCCCAAATGGCTGCAACGGCCACAGCTGGGCCAAAGCCTGGAGCCAGGAGCTTTTTCTGGATCTCCCACATGGGTTCAGGGGCCCAAAGCACTTGGGCCATCTTCAGCCACTTTCCCAGGCACATAGGCAGGGAGCTGGATAGGAAGTGGAGCAGCCAGGAATCGAACCAGAGTCCATATGGGATGCTGGTGTCCCAGGTGGAAGTTTTACCTGCTATGGAATATAGCAAAATGTTTTTAAACAATTGTAAGATAAAAAAGAAAAATATATTTTATTTCTTTTTGCATAGCTGAAAAGCAAATTTGATGAAGGGACAAATGTACTGCTTGATTCTTCTCCTTCATGTTATAATAATCCTGCATGATAATTGCAAGAGTTGTCTCAAGAAAATTTACTATGTTGTTTGGGCCATTGAATGGAAATTCTTATTTTTCTTTTTAAGTGGAATTATGGAGGATAAGGGATGGAATATTAAAATTGCTGCAAGAAGTGTTTTGACCACAAGTTGTACTGTTTTGCTTTACAACAATGAATCATATGTATTGACCCAAATCCTACTGAAATACAGTAGATATTCACACTACCACCACAACAGAATATTGTGTTTTTTTCTTATATGGAGTCTGACTTTCATGTCCAGGCAGATTAGGTCCCATTCCCCTTCAGGGTTCAGTGAGGAGGTTTCCCTATTCCAGGAACACTTCCCTGACACTGTTGCACTTACCACCTACTTAACTGCTCTCTGTCCTCTCACCTCTACCACTGTCCCTGCGGAAACAAACAAAACACAGTGCTATTATTCTCTTTCTTCCCCCCGGATAACCAGTGCCTCACTCAATGCAGGAACACAGTAGCACCATAAATTAGCCATTCATTTCTAGTTGAACAATATCCATTGTTGAATGAGTACCTTTTATGTTAGTATAGTATGGAATTTTGTAATTAAATGTCAAATCTAGGTAGCATACAACTTCTTTTGGCTTACCTTTTCAGATCTGCCGAGATAAGGCCTGTGTGGAGACCACATATGTGAATCTTGGCTGTACTTTACAAAATTGCAACAACCAAGGGGTAAGTTCCAGGGTTATGAGGTGAGAATAGAAATTCCTGCAAGTAATCCCAGAAGGCAAACTCTCAGCTGCACACGCACTCACACACATATACATTTGTATTCCCATAAGCCCGCATGGGCAAATCAGCCTTCTGGGACCTAGATATCATTTGCTAATTCTAGTTGAACACTTAAAATTCTTAAATTATCTTAAAAAGTGCTGTTTCTCCTGCTTTCAGATATGCAACAGCCTACAGCACTGTCACTGTAACCCTACATTTTTACCTCCAAATTGCTCAGCTGTGGATGAGAGATGGGCTGGTGGGAGCGTCGACAGCGGCAATTTCCAAGGTGGCGGTGTTCCCGGCATTGGCGGTCTTACCAGCGTTGGCACTCCCCCTTTCATTCCCGGTGTTCCCGGTGGTAAGTATTGATAACAAATTTTAAACATAATTTAAATTCCATTTTATTCGTTAAATTTAATAAACAGTATTTGAATACCGATTTATATTTATATTCTGTATTGACATCACATAATAAACCACACATGTCTCTATTACTCCAGAGAGTAAATATAGCATATGTAATATATGTTACCTATAAGATATGTCTGTCAGAGAGCCATGGCAGGAAAGGAGGAACTCACTTTAGCCCTTCAAACAGAAAGAATTCAGCATAAGGCATCAAGTCACATTTGATGGCAGAGATGAAAATCTAATCAGAGAATGGTTTGACAACCTTAATATTACCAATGGTAGGAGTAGGTCAGAGCTGTGGCCTAGTGAGTAAAGCTGTCACCTGCGGTGCCAGCATCTCATATGGGCGCTGGTTCGAGTCCTGGCTGTTCCACTTCTCATCTAACTCTCTGCTATGGCCTGGGAAAGCAGTGGAAGATGGCCCAAGTCCTTGGACCCTTGCACCCACGTGGGAGACATGGAAGAAGATTCAGATCAGCCCAGCTCCAGCCGTTAAAACACGGCTGGGGAGTTAAAACATCAGATGGAAGACCTCTCTCTCTCTTTGTAACTCTGCCTTTCAAATAAATAAAAAAACAATGATAGGAAACTACTACCACTTTTTAGGGCTAGAGGGACAATAAATGGAGGTATTATTAAAACCAGAGGCTAAGCTAGCTTGGCACGTAACTGTGATTAGGGCTGAATAGCCAGATATGGACCACAAGGAGAGGTATAACACAGCATGGAGCCGCGCTGTGGAGGGTACACAGCCACTGCTGGAGGTGCTGAGGGGTGGGGGAAATACCATGGCTATCTCACTCTTCTGATCCTCCACATTTTCATCCTGTGACTCCAATTGATTAAACACAGCTAGAAGATAGCCAGTCAAAGGACTTGGGGATGTAGCTCCCTGCGATACTGCTGCAAGCAGAGGAAAGGAGGTGTTGGATTTCAGGACGATCCAGCAGTTAAGCAGTGCATCCAACAACACTTAGAGCGGCGAGTTTTCTTTTATACAGAAACTTAAATTTATAGACAGTCAGAGTTATTTTTCCAGATTTTGAGCCAAAGTAAGGCTTAGTATTTTCACATTCATTCCGATATGTGGAAATACTATATAGTAATAGGTTGGAAAGTTTGAAACATTATTTTTAAAATGCAATGTCCTAGGGGACTTCAAAGAGTTTGTGGAAAATTGAATTAAAAACAAGTTAATTTTTGGTGAAAAAGAATTTTTGAAATCTAATAGTTTTGTTTTTTTTTTTCATTTTCCATAAATTTTTTTGGAGACCCCCTGATATGATCAAGCAACTTCCAATCTAGTAAAAGCAATTAGCTTACTATGGTTTGTATTCAAGTTGGGTGCAGTTAATTTCTCCTGGCCGTGTGCACAAATACCATTTCCCCAATGAGCAATGGATCCTACCTGGATCAAGCTGGACTTAGAGGTGTGGTGGATCAAATAAAATGTGAAGAACTGACATTCCAGGGTTCCCATGGTCTTACTGCAAATTCTAACTGGGTCTTTTCTCTTATTCTTTTTCTTTTGGAGGTAGGGGTGGTGGCGGTGGTGATGGAATACTTATTCTTAGACCTATCATTCCTAGAGCAACTCATTTTGTTGAATACCAGGTGCAATGTATTAAATTTGGATACACTGAGACGCGAAAATTCCCTCTCCCAACTAAATCCCTCCCCAAGTTCATGACCCACACAATCGTGAGCTAAATTGAATAATATTTTTAAGCTACAAAGCTTTACTTTCCTACACTGCAGTATATAATAGAAAAAAGTTAGTAACCAGTGTAGTGTATTTCTCTAATAAGAATCTGAAACATCCAGCATTAGCTTTGGACTTGAGTGGTAGATGGAAAAGCCACAGGCCTGCAGCAGACTGTTGGAGATATTAGTGCCTGTGGACATTGTCTTGGGAAAACAGTTGCTGAGCAATTCAAGGATAGTTTAAAAGCATGTGATTAGAAAGCCAAGTACTTACTATCAAGTGATAAATAGCTCGGTGTCACTGCTGCCTACAGAGCTGTGGAAAATAGAACTCAAGCTTCTGGTCGGTGAGAAGTCGAATACAAAGCAAGTATAAAAGAGCTTGTATTTCTTTTCTGAAAATACTAATAATTATTCCTGGTTTCTCCCAGCAAAAAATATAAATAAATAAATGGATAAAATAGCTAAAGGCCAGATTTGAAATTTTGAGTAATAAAATTTAATACCAGATAAAAATTAAGTCAAACACTTGACTATACAGCCCTCTGTCCAAAATGTAGGAGAACCTAAGTTGATTCCTCCTAGAGGCCTTTCCATCTATACAGAGTATTTTGTGAAGAGGCCTCATGAGTCCTCCAACAATAAGGCTACAAAGGATGTTAGGTAGATCATTTCACAACAGTCCCACCAGGGTCCAATATAAAGGTTTATGTCAAAAAGCGTTGCAAGTATGGTCTTTGGTTAAACGAGTGCATCTTTAATTTGACATACAAAAATTCCCAGAAGAAACCAGGGGCCGGCGCTGTGGTGCAGCAGGTTAAAGCCCTGGCCTGAAGCACCGGCATCCCATATGGGTGCCAGCTCTAGTCCCCCCTGTTCCACTTCCGATCCAGCTCTCTGGAAGGAGCTCCTGGCTCTTGGCTTCGGATCAGCGCGGCTCTGGCCATTGCAGCCAACCGGGGAGTGGGGAGTGAACCAGCGGATGGAAGACCTCTCTCTCTCTCTCTCTCTCTCTCTCTCTGCCTCTCCTCTCTCTGTGTAACTCTTTCAAGTAAAATAAATAAATCTTTAAAAAAAAAAAAAAGAACTAAAAAACCAGAAGCCAAAGCTTCTTGGGTTTGTGAGTTGATAGGAAAAAACAATCACAACAAAAATAAACAACAGCAATAACAAAATTACAGACCCATAAAGGTAAATTAACCAAAGTTTTGCAAGGAAGAAACTCCATTGTAGGTCTTGGTGGTGGAGAAAGCCCTATCGACTCTTTGTATGAGGAAAACAGCCTGAATGCCAAATTCAGACTAGGAGATTAACAAAGAAAAAAAAATAGTCTCTTTTCATGAATGTAGATGTAAAAACCAATGAAATATTAACTCATGGTATGTAGCTATCTATACCAGGGGTTTGCATAAAGTACATGGGAAATGCATACTGTGGAAAAACTATATGGATTTCAAAAAATTTTGCTGCAAGATAAACCTATATTTTCATCCTATTTTTCATTAACTTGTTGAGGTACTCATATTAAAAGAATAATAGTCCAGGGGCCGGTGCTGTGGTTCACTAGGTTAATCCTCCACCTGCGGCGCTGGCATTCCATAAGGGCACCGGGTTCTAGTCCCGGTTGCTCCTCTTCCAGCCCAGCTCTCGGCTGTAGCCTGGGATAGCAGTGGACAATGGTCCAGGTGCTTGGGCCCCTGCACCCATATGGGAGACCCGGAGGAAGCTCCTGGCTCCTGCCTTTGGATCAGCACAGTTCCAGCTGTTGTGGCCATTTGGGGAGTGAACCAACGGAAGGAAGACCTTCCTCTCTGTCCTTTTCTCTCACTGTAATTCTGTCAAATAAATAAATAAAATCTTTAAAAAAGAATAGTCCAGATTCATTGGGGTTTATCTCATGAATGCAGAACTGTTTCTCATTTGAAAAATCAGTTCATGCAATTCACCATTAGGTGCAAAATAAAACTTGATACAGTTGTCTCATCTGCTACAGAAAATCATTTGACAAAATTTAAAGCTTATTTATGGGGGCTGGCGCTGTGGCACAGTGGGTTAAAGCCCTGGCCTAAAGTGCTGGCATCCCATATGGACTCTGGTTCTAGTCCCAGGGGCTGCTCTTCCCATCCAGCTCTCTGTTATGGCCTGGGAAAGCAGTAGAAGATGGTCCAAGTCCTTGGGCTCCTGCGCTCACGTGGGAGACCCGGAAGAAGCTCCTGGCTCCTGGCTTCGGATCAGCACTGCTCTGGCCATTGCGGCCATCTGGGGAGTGAGCCAGCAGATGGAAGATCTCTCTCTCTGACTTTACTTCTCTCTGTAACTCTGTCTTTCAAATAAATAAAATAATTCTTTTTTAAAAAAGCTTATTTATGAATTGTAAAAAAAAAAAAAACAGCAAATTACTGAGAGAAGACAATTTCCACTCTGATAAAGAACAGCAACAAAACACTTGTACTAATATATCTTGTGATAATGTGCATTTAGTTTTTCATAAAATTGGGAGCAACGCAACCAAGTCTTCACTCGCCTTGTCTATTCAACGTTTTACTGTCAAGTCCTAGCCAGTGTATTAAGGAAACAACAAAAAATAAGGGGCAAACAGGTGGAAAAGGATGAAATGAGACTGCCTATGTACACAGATGATAGCATCAATTGCTTAGAAAATACTAAGAAATCTACATTTCCTTGACAGTAACACTTGTAGACGCAATAAATAACTTTTTTAAGATGTTATTTTACCAAACTTTTATTTGGGAAAAAATTTCAAACTTACAAAAAAGTTGCAACAGACACAATACTGCAAAAGACCAGATCCCCTTTATCCGGATCTAGCTCTCATGAAGATCTAACTCATTGATTTGGCATTTGCTTGCTTTCTATGTGTATTGATTTTTTAAAATTTTGTATTAATATAAAGAGAATAGATTTCATGCCTCCCATAGGTACAGTTCTAAGAAGACAACCACACTTCCCTCACTGCCCTCCTCTCCTGAAATCCCCCTTCCTCCCCTCTCTTCCTTAGTCTTTGTGAAGACATAATTTCAATCCACTCTATGTTCACAGACTTAATTCACCACTAATTATAATATTCAAAAAGCTTTGATAGGGCAGCAGAAATAATCAACATAGAAAAATAGTTGTATTATTATATAACAGCAATAGTGAATATAAACAACCTAAAATTAATGCTGTTATTATCAAAACATAAAATACTAGAATAAGTTTAACAAAAGATGTGCAAAATCTTTACACTGAAAACTAAAAAGGGCAAATAGGTATAGCATATTGAGATAAATGTAGAAAAATATACCATGTCCACCTGCTGAAAGGCTTATTACTTCTAAGGTCTTAGTTCTTACCAAAATAAATCTAGAATTAAATTAATCTATAAAACAGGTTTTTGCTACATAATCTATCTTATACATCAATTGCAATTACAATTTTAGATTTCTGTAATTTCAACTCATTGATTTAAGACATACCTACCATAATAACATGCATATTTTTTTAGAAATTGACACTCTGATTCTGAACTGTATACAAAAGCCATAGAAGGGCCAGGTAATCCTGAAAATAAAAGAAAAATATGACTTAGTCTATTTATCTTATATTAACTATATTACCTTATATTTACTCAATCATTTCATATAAAGTATAGTATAGCTTCAGTATGTATTTGCATTCATTAATCAAGAGCATATGGCCCTGGAAAAGGATAGATGCACAAATATAACAGCAGAATGAAATAGACAGTTCAGAAATATGTGCATTAAAGTATAGCTACTCTTTTGTTCAGTAAATCTATAAAGATGATTGAAAGGTAAAGAAAAATAAATTCAAAAAACTGTAAAAATACAACTGGATATTCACAGAAGATCAAATGAGCCTCAAAATCCCAACATAATTAGTAATTAATAGGAGATTGAACACAAATCTAAATGTAGATGCTAAAACTGTAACTATTCTAGAAGGTAACATGGAAAAGCAGCAATTTCTTAGGTAAAACACATATTAATGCAATTAGAGCAGTCAATCTGTACTGAATCAAACTGCTGCTTATTGTATGTATAGTGTTTCTTATGAAAATTAAAAATATTAAGAATAAACTCAGGGTGTGTGAGGTTTACACTGTAATTGTTTTCACCTCTATTGTCAGTCCTGAAAAGAGACTATCAAGAATAGAAAGTTCTCTCAATTGAAAAACCAGAGATGTGACTATTATTGTTAAGAGTTAGAAGACAGTTAACTACTTCATATAAAAACATGTTAATTTAACAGCGATCACTTTTCAGTTAAGTTTCAACACTTGAGAATAACTGTGTATTGATTACAGTATTCAACCAAAAGTATTGAGTAGAACAAATAAACAAAAGAAATACCAAGAGGGATAACGTATTAAGTTGTTCATCAACAGTCAGGGCAAGGGCTGATCAAGTCACTGTTTCTCATAGTGTTCATTTCACTTTAACAGGTTTCCTTTTTGGTGCTCAGTTAGTTGTCACCGATCAGGGAGAACATAAGGTATTTGTCCCTTTGGGACTGGCTTATTTCACTCAGCATAAAAGTGATTGCTGTTAAATATAAGAGTGGGAGTAAGAGAGGGAAGAGATGTGCAATTCGGGACATGCTCAAGCTGACTTAACCTCAAACGGTAGAGTTAGAAACATACCAGGGGATTCCAATTCAATCCCATCAAGGTGGCATGTCATGTACCAATGCCATCTCACTAGTCCCAGTGATCAATTTCTGTTCACAACTGATCATAATGATAGGACTAAGAGTCAAAGGGAGCACATAAACAAGACTAGTGTCTGCAAATACTAGCTGATAGAATAAAAAAGGGAGAGAACGATCCAACATGGGAAGCGAGATACACAGCAGACCCATAGATTGGCAGATGTCCTGAATGGCACTCTGGCCTCAGAATCAGCCCTTAAGGCATGCGGATCTGGCTGAAAAGCCCATGAGAGTATTACAGGCATGGAAAGCCAAAACACTCTGGCCAAAAAAAAAAAAAAAAAAAAAAAAAAAAAAACCAACCACCCTACATGAAAGATCTCCGTGAGTGAGATCCCAGTGGAAAGAACGGGTCATCAAAGAAGGAGGTACCTTTGTCTGAAGGGAGGAGAGAACTTCCACTTTGACTACGACCTTGTCTAAATATGATCAGAGTTGGTGAACTCAAAAGGCTTCCATAGCCTTGGCAACTCATGACAAGAGCCTAGGGTGATTACTGATGCCATAAACAAGAGTGTCAATTTGTTAAGTCAACAACAGGAGTCACTGTGCACTTACTCCTCATGTAGGATCTCTGTCCTTAATGTGCTGTACATTGTGATTTAATGCTATAACTAGTACTCAAACAGTATTTTTCACTTTGTGTTTCTATGTGGGTGCAAACTGTTGAAATCTTTACTTAATATATGCTAAACTGATCTTCTGCATATAAAGAGAATTAAAAATGAATCTTGATGTGAATGGAAGGGGGGAAGGAGAGGGAAAGGGGAGGGTTGCGGGTGGGAGGGAAGTTATGGGGGGGAAGCCATTGTAATCCATAAGCTGTACTTTGGAAATTTATATTCATTAAATAAAAGTTAAAAAAAACATGTTAATTATAAAATTGTTAAATAGTTGAAAATTTTTATTCTCATAGTCAAATAAGGAAATATTTTTACTACGATGTTCCTGATGAGTGCTTTCTAATCACGGGTGTTTCTCTCTCCTAGTTAGGCGTTACATGGAGGATGTTTACCAAACTGCTAAACCTACAAGATGGCCATTTTTCTTACTCATTCCCTTTTTCATTATTCTCGGTGCACTGATTGCTATACTGGTGAAAGTTCAATTCCAAAGAAAAAAATGGAAAACTGAGGACTATACAAGTGATGAGTATGTTGATTTCCTACTTAATATTCATGATTTGTATAATTTATTGGCACATAAGTCATTGATAACATCATGGTATGTAACTAAAAATAATTCAGATTTAATTTCTGTCTTTATATAGCATAATAATGATTAATATCATGAATAATCAATAGAATTGTTTTCAAAGGCCAGTTGTTTAAATTTTATAAAAGCTTGGAGTCCTTTAGGAGTCAAATTAAATGGAAATCACTTTTAGTTAAATTTTTTATAAAGATTTATTTATTTATTTGAAAGTCAGAGTTATACGGACAAAGGGGAGGCAGAGAGAGAAAAGTCTTCCATCCCCTAGTTCACTCCCCAAATGACTGCAATGGCCAGAGCTGAGCTGATCCAAAGCCAGGAGCCGGAGCTTCCTCTGGGTCTCCCATGTGGGTGCAGGGGCCCAAGGACTTGGGCCATTTTCCACTGCTTTCCCAGGCCATAGCAGAGAGCTGGAAGGGAAGTGGAACAGCCGGGACTTGAACCGACACTCATGTGGGATGTGGGCACTGCAGGCAGAAACTACACCATAGCACCAGCCCCTTTTAATTAAAAACTTATCTACATGGGGCCGGCACTGGGGCGCAGTAGGTTAAGCCACCGCCTGCATTGTCAGCAGTCTATGTGGGTGCCTGTTTTAGTCCCAGCTGCTTCTAATCCAGATCCTTTGACAGAGGAGGATGGACCAAGAGCTTGGGCCCTTGCCACCCACATAGGAGACCTGGATGGAGTTCCACACTCTTGGCCATTTGGGGAGTGAACCAACAGATGAAAGATTCTCTCTCTCTCTCTCTCTCTCTCTCTCTCTCTCTCTCTCTCTCATTCTGCTTGTCAAATAAATAAATCTTTTTTAAAAATCTTTTTAAAAACTTATCTATATTCATTTATTATTTGGTCTTTATCTTTAAATTTCTATTAAGCATTACCTTTTTTTAAAAGATTTATTTATTTATTTGAAAGTCAGAGTTACACAGAGGGAGAGGGAGAAGGAGAGGCAGAGAGAGAGAGAGAGGTCTTCCATCCACTGGTTCACTCCCCAGTTGGCCACAATGGCCAGAGCTGTGCTGATCCGAAGCCAGGAGCCAGGAGTTTCTTCCAGGTCTCCTACATGTGAGCAGGGGCCCAAGGACTCGGGCCATCTTCCACTGCTTTCCCAGGCCATAGCAGAGAGCTGAATTGGAAGTGGAGCAGCCAGGACTCAAATCGGCATCCATATGGGATGCCAGCACTGCAGGTGGTGGCTTTACCCATTATGCCACAGTGCTGGCCCCTAAGGATTACTTTTAATATTTACATATTTCAAAAAATTGCATGTACTATTTTAACGAAAGGTAACAGGGAAACCCAGGAAAATATTTAAGCTTCTTTTTTTACAGGTCCTTAAATCGAGATACAGGCAGTCAAAGGTAGAAAAGGTTAAAACGTAACATGTAATAATACTGAAGAAGCCAGGATACAGCCATAGGTAATCTACAGGGGAAAAAAATTATACTTGTGTATTAAAAAATAAATATCTGAAAGTATGTTATAAGAATAAACAGATATTAAAATCAGTTTCTATATCTTCAGAGAAATTGCTAAAAATAATTTCTGCTTTTGAGTTTTATACCTATGCTCTTCATTTTACTTTAACTGTTATTAGATTAATAAAACAATGTAAATAAAAAGGGCGTATATCTCAGAGACACCGTTTCAGAAGTTAATATGAATTTCTGAAATAATATGCAGCATATAAAATACTTTAATTCTGCTAACTCTTCAAATATTAAATTTGTTTTCTTATATTGGATAAGTTTATTGTGGCTGAAACTGATTTATCAAATATATTTGGAAAAAAAGTAGCCAGTAAAATTAATGGAAATAAATAGAGCTAATAATAAATGATTTTTAAAAACCCTAAAGATATTTAACCAACAGTATGATGAATGTGCAAATTCTCTCTGAGTTTATTTTCAGGCAATCTTATACCACTGTGCCTTTTTCTCATGTTTGGGTATGCAAAGAGGTAGGGTGTTCATCTAATGACCATGTTAGAGGTATCCTCCATCTTAGGGTTATGTTTTTTTAAGAAAAAAAAAGATTTATTTTATTTACTTGAAAGGTAGAGTTATGGAGAGAGAGGAAGAGATGAAGAGAGAGGGGGAGAGAGAGAGATCTTCTATTCACTGGTTCACTCCTCACATGGTTGCCACGGCTGGAGCTGGGCCAGACCAAAGCCATGTTCAGCAGCCTAGAACATCTGAGTCTCCCACATGGGTGGCAGGGGCCCAGGGTGCATTAGAAGGGAGTTGGGTCAGAAGCAGAACAGCCAGAACTTGAACCAACGCTGGCATCTCAGGCAAAGGCTTAACCCACTGAGCCACAACGTTGGCCCCAAGATAAGTGCTAAAATGATTGCAGCCAGATCTCATGTGGAGATTCAGAACGAAATATTTCAATGGACAGTTAGAGCAGAGTTTTGCAAGTGATATTAAAAGTATAATTTTAGGGCCGGCGCCGCGGCTCAATAGGCTAATCCTCCGCCTAATGGCGCCGGCACACTGGGTTCTAGTCCCAGTCGGGGCGCTGGATTCTGTCCCGGTTGCCCCTCTTCCAGGCCAGCTCTCTGCTGTGGCCCGGGAAGGCAGTGGAGGATGGCCAAAGTGCTTGGGCCCTGCACCCCATGGGAGACCAGGAGAAGCACCTGGCTCCTGCCTTTGGATCAGCACGGTGCACCAGCCATAGCACGCCAGCTGCGGCGGCCATTGGAGGGTGAACCAGTGGCAAAGGAAGACCTTTATCTCTGTCTCTCTCTCTCACTATCCACTCTGCTTGTCAAAAAAAAAAAGTATAATTTTAGGTAATTATTATTTTTGTACACATAGGCAATTTGAAAGTGACAGTGAACTCAAAGAGTAGTCCGGACAACAGAGATTTCATGAAATCACAGAGAATCCCAGGTATTTTAAAGGAGTGAAATGGGACAAGGGAAAGGGAGGATGGAGAATGCAATATATTAAAGATAAATAATATGATCTATATGAAATAGTCATGCAGCTGTATGTGATTTAAAAATTGGAGAGTATTTTTCAGTATTGTGTGTTACGTTGTAGACATGGTAGCCAGAAACCACATTGTAATTAGTCATTTAAGCTTTTCCTGCAGTGTTATCTTTTAAATTATTTTCTCTAATTAGGTTTAATCCTTTAACATGTGTGTGTTCAAAATTTTGGCTAAAAACAAATTGCATGATAGATATCGACCTTATAATAAAGGTGTTGTCACTGCTATGTGTCGGATTAGCCACCATTTCAACTTGTTTGGTCATACAGGTGACTTTTCTCCTTTATTCATTCTTCCAGAGTAATTATCTGTAATGGATGGAACAAGAGAAAAAGAAAAAGAACATGTATCACCTGATTCTCTGGGATTCAAGCTGCATAATATGTTTTAACCTGACCAGAAAATATAGCATAGTATATATGTATGTATACATATATATATATATATAACTCCACATTTAACTTGCAAGAACCATGATTACAAGTTTTATATCACATAGTTCTTGTTTGTAAGGTTTTCTCATCACTATTTTTGTTAGCCAGTAGGCACTAATTCTGTTAGTAGGCACGACAAAGAAGGTTTATACTACAATAAATGTGGTGCCATGATTAAAAGCTGCTGTTACAATTTAAATTGCAATGGTATGTTGTTATGTTGTAGTCTGATGGTCTATAACCAATGAGAAGACAGTGATTCTGAGATCCGGACAAATTTCTCTACCACATGCTGCTTACAAAAGACACATTTTCAGAGTAGGAGTTTCACCTAGCAGTTAAGGTGCCTGCGTCCTATAGAGGAGTTCTACCTGCGTTTGATGGCTCTGGCCGATAACTCCAGCTTCTCCTGAGAGACTACAATGATGGCTCGAGTCACTGGGTTCCTGCCATTCAGAGGAGACACTTGGTTTGAGTTCCAGGCTCTTAATGTCAGCCTGGCCTTTCCTGGGCCCTTGTAGGCATTTGGGGAATGAACCAGCAGATGGGAGCATTCTCTGTCTCTGAATCAGTCTCTCTGCTTTTCAAAGAAAAATGTAAACACTTTAACATATGTAAAGGTTCAAAGTAAAAGATACAAAAATATACAAAAATATATACCACAAGAACCTTATTTAAAAAAAGAAAGCTGGTAGAATATACAAGTAAAACATTTGTAGAGAATCTCTCTCTTTTTTTTTTAAAGATTTATTTTATTTTATTTGAAAAAGTTAGAGAGAGAGGTAGAGACAGAGAGAGAGATCTTCCATCCGCTGGTTCACTCCCCAGATGGCTGCAGTGGCCAGAGCTGTGCCAATCCGAAGCCAGGAGCCAGGAGCCAGGAGCTTCTTCCAGGTCTCCCACATGGGTGCAGGGTCCCAAGGACTTGGGCCATCTTCTACTGCTATTCCAGGCCACAGCAGAGAGCTGGATTGGAAGAGGAGCAGCCAGGACTAGAACTGGTGCCTATCTGGGATGCCGGCAAGACACAAGACAGTCCCATGCAGAACATGCAGAGGGGCTGCTGGTTGTCCCCTGAGTGGCCAAGAGCCCTGGGCTGTGTCAGCAGACTTCAAACACCACAGTCAGATGTGCTGGAAGTAATTATAGGGGAAGCAGCTCAGTCCAGGACGCCACCACTGCCAACCGCATCGCTGACAGAGGACCAGGGATTCTGCCCACGCCTGGCTGCTTCACGTGCCTGCCTCGGTGCCCGGGGCTCTTCACTGGGGCTGGGGATCCCTCGGACACTGAGAGAACACAGGAGTCTACACACTGGGAAAACACCCAGCAGCCCACATGTGGTCTCAGGGGGCTCCCCAGCCGTCAACAGCCCACATGTGGTCCCAGGGGGTTCCCCAGCCATTGACAGCCCACATGTGGTCCCAGGAGGTTCTGGGGCATCTCACACCATCCTTGATGAGACCCCCACTGCATCCACGATGCTGGGTTAAGAATCTGGCATACGAATGGCCGTAGGATCCAGCAACTCTTCTGGGTGCAGGTGCCCAGAAGAACTGAAACCAGGGGCGCTGCAGCTCTGCTCACCACAGCCAAAAGGTAGAGGCAACAGAAGGGCTCATCGAAGGTGAATGGAGAAGCAGACTGTGGCTTACAAGGGCAGTGAAATAGTATTCAGCCTTGAAAAAGGAGATTATAGCAAATGCTGCAGTGTGGATGAACCCTGACGATACTACGCTAAGTGAAAGAAGCCAGTTACCAAAGAACAAACACTGTAAGATCCCACTCCCATGAGGCACCTAGGAAGTCAAAGTCATAGAGAAAGAAATGAGAACAGTGGTTGCATTGCAGGGGAGGGTGAGGGAGAACTGAGGAATTACTGTCCAATGACCGTAGGCTCTCAGTTTTGTAAGATGCAAACGCTCTGGAGAAAACAAAGTTCTGGAGATGGATGGTTCCGTGTCCTGCATCCACAGCGATCAGTGGAGGCTCCCTTGGGGTTCCCTTTGTTCATTCAGAGTGCAGGGAGCAGGGACCACTGTGGCCCCAAAGTATCCACCCGGGACACTGCAGGGGAGCAGGGGGTGCTGTGAGACCCCCTTGCAGGGCTGCCCACTCTGACCTAGGGCAGGGAAAGCACAGAGAGGCTGGGGAGCTCAGCCAGGACAAGGCAGGGCCACCCAGGACCCCTGCAGCATGGCCAACCCACCGGGAGGGGCAGACGACTCTCCATAGCCCTTCATGTCCACAGCCAGGACCCGGTAGCCCGCCTGGGCCAGAGCAGGGATCTGGAAAAGAGGCATTCAGGCGCACTGGGTGTGCTCTCATTGCTCCCTGGTCATCTTCCCCTGCCCCCTGCTCCTGTGGATGGCTCCATCCAAAGTGCCTGTGACACTGTGACACACCTGGTGTCCTCAGCCTGGGACTAGAGCGCCCCCACCTGGACACGCCTGCCACAGACGGCGGTGAGGTTGGTACACTGCATAAAGGCCCCACCAAGCAGCACCTATCTAGCAAAATCCTTGCAGATTTCTATCCTCTACAAAGGTTTCCCAGCAGGTGGCGTAGAGCCTCTAGAAGCATCCCCCCTCCCCTACTCTGCAAAGGTCCCCTGGAGTCCAGCACAGCCCTGAGGTCTCAGCCATCTGCTGCCTGATGTCGCTGAGGCTTCGCAGTCACTCTGTGCAGATGACGGCCCCCGTGAGGCCCCAGCTTCCGCCCTCCAGGCTGGGCCACAGCACCGGCTTCCCCTCCGCTCGCCCTGACTGGGCCGCACCTCCCACAGTTCCCTTACCTAGTACCTCCAGGAGAACCAGCTCTCAGGAAACCCATGGCAGAGGCACACCGCGGGGCCTGAGCCCTGCTCCACAAAATGCAGGCGGAGCCCCGGCTGCAGGAGAGAGAGGGGAGCGGGCAGCATGAGGCCGACCAGAACCTGGCCCCACTTCTGCAGGCGGGCTGCTCGCGGGGGTTGTTGGATCTGCCCTGACCCAGCCTTCTCAGCTCAAGACCCCAGTGGTAGAAGATGGCAAAGAGCAGACACTGGCCAAGCGGGGCCAAGAAACCAGGCGGTTTTCCCTGTGACGTAAGCCCGGAGAGATCGGGAGGTTGGGAAAAAAACAAAAGCACCTTCGCCTTTCTCTGTAAAATGCCTGGTGCTGTCAGTGTCTGGGCTGTGGCGATGTCTGAACTGGGGGCTGATTTTTATGAGTGTAATATCCACAGCAATGAGCCCATTATCATGACCATCATAGTAAAAGGTGTTCACTGCTGAAAGATAACGATGCAGGCTTTGGTTGGCGGGGCGCTGCCAGGGCTACGTGGGTTCAGGGCTCCTCAGTGGCTGTGTTCTCTCTCTCTGGCACAACGGTGGCATTATCCAGACACTGCCTTCCTTCCTCACAGTTCCTGTGGCCATGTGAATGAGTCTGGCCAATGGCTTACTATGACAGAGAGGGCTAAGCAAATGAACTCAGTGTGTAATCCAACGGCCCTGTTTCCAGCATGCCAATGCAAATGCACGAGAATAGAATCACATGACAGAAATGTACCAGGGCCATGCCTCTTGGCTATGTGTCACACTGAGCTGAACAACTCCTTTATTCGAAAAAACATTGGGAGGGCACTCCACAGAGCCTTTCACGGGCTACAATATGATTGGCAGAGTATGTGCTACATTTGTCTTAGCTTCCCATTGCTGCAACAAAATACATGAGGCTGGGCGCAGTGCTATGGCATAGCGGGTTAAGCCACTGTTTGCAACGCCAGCATCCCGTATGGGCGCTGGTTCAAGTACCAGATGCTCCACTTCTGATTAGCTCCCTGCTAATTCACCTGCAAAAGCAGCAGAAGATGGTCCAAGACCTTGGATACCTTCACCCACGTGGGAAATCTGGATGGAGTTCTTGGCTTCTGGCTTTGGTCTGGCCCACTCCTGGCCATTGCCACTATTTGGGGAGTGAACCAGTGTGGTGGTAGATACTTATTCAAAGGTTGTATTTGCAACAGCCCAATCCAGAGAAAAGGCTAGTAATGCGATAAAGGTGGTTAAATCATTCATGCTGGTCCTTGATGTCCCCTGGACCATAAAGACTGATAACGGGCCAGCATATACATCATAGGAATTTAATTCCTTCCTGAAATCCTGGAACATACAGTCTACCACAGGTATCCTATACAACCCACAGAGACAGGCAATCATTGAAAGAACTCATAGGACAATTAAAGGTCTCTTACAAAGACAGAAAAACAATCATATGCCCCCAGACCCACAGCTTGCTTTGACTGAGGTCCTTTTCACTATCAATTTTCTTAGTTTTGATTCCCAAGGGATCATCCCAGCTTATAAACACTGGGGATCCTTTCCATCCTAGACCCCAGCCCCTATGGTTAGGTGGAAAGACCCCCTGACAGGAGAATGGAAGGGACCACACCCTCTGCTAACCAAGGGTCTAGGATATGCTTGTGTCTTTCTAGAGAATGCAGAACAGCCCATTTGGGTACCAGCCAGAAACATAAAGCCTGCAACTGACAGCCAACCAGAACCAGCTGAACAAGAGTGAGTCTCCCTTGTTAGCGAATGCACCTGCCCTATCATCCTACCCTTGAGGAACTGCCCATAGCCACATCCATTACTGTTTTATACCCCACTAGCTCTGGTCAGCTACTCAAATGGCCCACAGCCTGGGTGCAGTCAAGCCATTCCTGATTAACATTGTTCCTCATTCCTACCCCCATCTGAGCAAGCACTCCTGTGGTCTGCTGTTTTGAGCGCTGGTTAGTTAACAACGGGTAAGATCCCCTGGGGACAACCTAAGACAGGCACAGCTGCGTACAGAGACCACATGGAAACAGGGTCAACAATGGTATGGCCAAGAATCATGCCTCCCGTTGCTAAAAATAAACCAAAAGGGGGAAATGTGGTGGAATGAGAAGGCCATGCCAAGATGGCCACTGGCAACAGAAACTGCCTGGCAACAGGCTGTGATTGGATGGCTTCAGAGACTGCCTGGCAACAGGCTGTGATTGGTTAGGGCATAGACTGCCCCTTGACCGGATTGGCTGCCTTGGCTATATAAGCTGTTGTAGCAACTGAAATAAATGGGTCTGCAGGCTGCTTGCCTCAGGCCTGCTTTCACCCGACTTCCAGGGTCTGTGGTGACTCCGCACCTCTTGCCCCCACCACGCTCCTC